GAATAACTTAAATTAAAATTTTTATTATATTGAAACCTTAATACGTACAAAGAGCAATTTACAATATGCCTGTAATAAATTGCTTGCGATGCTTTTCGACGCAACAAGGTTTCATTTTTCACAAATATGTTTACAAATAAATAATTTAAAGAAGTAATTAATACACTATTATTTACAAGAAACATAATGACTATTAATTATACAAATTCTGCTTGTTATATATATATATATCGTTCGATGAGTAAAATTATTAACAAAAATGTTAATGTTTTAATAAGTTAATAAAAATTTTTGTGTTTTGTACCATATTTTTATATGATTGAAATTACTAAACAGAATCAAGCATAAACTTTTTTGAATAACGTTTGCATTGGTTTTTATGAATATTTTTATTCTTATATGCTCAATCTAATAATCTTATATTTAACGAATTGCTTAAATAAGAAATATTGTTCATTGCATTTGATTTGGAGAAAACGGAAGACGAAAGTAATTGATAATGAAGTATGTTTGTCTATTTCAGTTTCTACATGTTCGATACTTATATGGAAATTATGACAAATAACGGTACAAAAAGGTAGTTCGGTTAAGGCCTCATTGTGGGTCAGTTTTAGGGCGAAACTGTATTGAATGTAAAATGAGTGATTCGGATCGATTGTCCTCATTTCATATTCTTGATACGTTATATGTACGTATCAAAAACATCGATAATATAAATATAAAATTTTCCAAATAAGAACAAAGTTAACAAACTTTTATAAAAGAAAAAAAATCACATGCTATAATTTATTTTGTAATACTGCAAGTTTTAACTTTAGAATTTAAATTATTCAAATAACTGAAAGAAACTTCATCTTCTAAGAACCTTCAATCTTTAAACGCTATTATAATTAGTTTATACTTAAAATTGTATAATTTAAAAGGTAGATCTATAAATTGACAGTATCGTACAGGAGTGCAGTCTAATGTGCAATATCATCAAAACAAATCCGACATAAAATCGTCATCGCCGTAATCACTGTAATCATCTGCTCCAGGTGGTACGAAAATCCCACCAAGCACGCCGGAAAGGTTTTCACCGAGACCCATTGCCGACGCGACTCCAAATACGAGTCTCATCATAAGTAATCTCATAAAGTTCACTACGTTCGTCTCTTTGCTTTGCAGAGACAATTGTGTCGTTTTCCTTGCTTTGCTCTCGACGCATTGAATCTGTTAAGTATTATAAATATTTGTTATCGCGTGTTACTAGTCAATATTTAATTAGATCGTGAATGTGTCGAGAAAAGAGAAGCAGACTTTTATAATTATTTGATATTATAGTTTTTAATGTATATGGTTAAAAAGTATACGGTTCTATTTAAAAAATAAAGTTGAACTTCGTATCTTTTCTATACATCCAGTTTTCTTATTTAAAATATATTCGCGGGAATTGACTTAAATGTGACACTCTGTATACATAAATTCTTCACACTTTGTAAGTTAAGTCTAACCACATCGTAAATAAATCTATTACTGAAATACGTTCCACTATTATCGGTAATTGAATAAATAGCGGGAACTGCGTTCCAATGTTGTAATTAATTGGACACTATCCAAAGAAGGATACTTAAATGTATTTGCGCGTAGTGCATTAATTAATTGGAAATTTTAATTGAACTCTCGCTCAATCGGTACTTACGCTGATACAGACAGTGACAACTACTGCTAAGGCGAGCGTAACTTTCATCTTGCACTTCCGACGCGTTAATCACTTCCGGCAAATATCAGTGAATACTTTTACGAGCGTCAATCGTTCGTTTCTTTTTTCTCGTTATGTTCGTTTCGTTTCCCGCGGTTTTGTTTGCATCGATGGGACCGTTTCAACTGACCACGCAGAGTGAGCAAAGAGAACTGAACGAATGAATGTTTCCGCAGGAGAAACCCGTCTGGTTCCTATTCTCGTTAAACTCGCCACTAATAGAGTACAGGTCGTAACATACAATCGAACAGGTGAACGATGGGGACAAACTGAAATATGTGCCGGTGCCATGATCGCAGAACCAAAGTTATTCTATGGTAACGGTACACAACGAAAAAAGGCATCTAGGCCATTTCTCCAGGTTATGTGATATGTGCTTAACCACATATCTATAGTTTCGTCCAGCGGAGGGTCTTAATAGGAATTCAGGATAAAAAAAGAAATTCTTCTACGAAAGTGCCTCCACATTGTGGTGGACCGATGTACTGTTCTCAAAAGTTTCATAGCTGGTTGATAAGTGTTGATCTAAGTGTTCGCAGTTTTTCTGAATTTTCAATGGATAATCGAATGATATGTAACGGATATTTTAAAATATCCTCCTCTAATTGCTCTTAAATTTTAACTTTTTAAATCACGTGTGGTTATGCAATATAAGGAAAATCTAATATATTTACTGTAACGTTGAATAAGGTTGGTGCTTAGAGAAAAAAAGAAGAAACAAGCGCATATTCGTCATTTGCACGTAATTACATGTATAACCTAAAAATCATCAATTTCATGGTTTTGCTTCGTTTGATTCGAAGAACTAAACAGTTCGTGGTAAATGGTTATTACACGCTGTTAAAAGCGGTCAAGAAATTAGCCTGAATAACAATGGTGAAGTTAGGTCTATTCTGTACCTCGTCTGTGGTGAAACGGACCGTTGCTTTTCAAACATGTACCATCAGCACATAATCACAGCGTTACAAATGCTTTAATTCCTAGGTGCAATATGATATAATGAATCTCTTATTTCATAAATATATGTAATTAAAATAAATTTTGATTATAAAATTGCTACAATAAATAATTGCAAATGAAAAACAACAAGGCCAAGGTAAGTGTGGTGAATTTTATGGTTTACTGTCGTCACTGCATCATTATCGACTGTGCTCGAAATGGTGGTTTCATTACCATTCAATCGTTCTCGGTCGTTAAATAGTTCGTCAATCATTCGAGGACGTAACGAGTCTCTCATTTGTCGCCCATTTAGGTTTCTCGGACATGCAATAAGTTTGATGAATGTTGAAGTAAATTGTTTTTTAAAACCGTTCGTTGCAAAAATTTCTATAGATATATGGAAATATGTTACTTTCATTTTGTAATTAATCATGGTAATTGATTCTTCCTACATATCTGCAATTCTTCGTAAAACAGATATTATGTTTTTTTTATGTTATAACGAGCAACACATAAAAACGTAAGAAGTAGCTTAAAAATGTGTAATAAAATCAACGTAGGATAAAATCTAGGTAATTTTATATAATTGCAAGAATGCAAGAGTTAGTTGAGAAAATTTGATCGATCCCTATTTAAGTAACGTATTTCTTGTTTTTTTTTTTTCGATACATTCGGAAGAAAAGTAATTGATTTACAATTATTCGATCACGAATATATTTTTCTCATATAACTCCGTTCATTTTTTATATATATTTTTCTGTTTAATTCTACATTTTTAAGATACTTGCGTCACTCATTATTGAAAACAAATTTAAGGGTACATTTCTTTTGAAGACTCAAAAACAAACATGATAAATTATGCAAAAGTAATATTTTTATATCTTATCTTCGCTAAAAAATTTCGCTATTCAACTCTCATTTCTCGAAAACTTTTGTACAACAATCAAGCAACAATCAATTTCGCATTCAACGACAAACTTGCAACCGAAGCTCAGATATGAATACGATTGTCTTTTGTTTTTAATGAAATATCTTACACTATTGCTGATTCTACTTATTTGCCGAGATATTGCGGTGTTCCATATTAGGTACAGTTACCCTAATTCCCCCATTGATAAAAATGAACCTGCAGCTTTGAACGATCAAGGTCGAAACAAATTTTTTCAAATATCTTGCTCCTTATCTTCCTCGAATTGCTGTTTCGGCACTCGAATTATGCGTACTTTCACGCCTGACTGATTGTTTCGACCTCACTATATCGGTTCCATCGACTATACCTATCTCGCGATACACCAATAATCGTGAGACACGTACCTTCTTAAATGCAAAGAATCTCAAAACCCCATTGAAATTTCCATTGCTTTTACTTTCGCCGTTTTTCCACCTTTATTCTGATATATTACAGACACATTAAAGTGCATTGGCTCACGCGACGTTCGGGGCATTCCCCTGAATCTTTTCTCGAGCGTGCCTCGATAGACAAAAATAGAGGATCGCCAACGATTGTGGACGATCGAAGAACGGGTTTGGAACGATTGAATGGAAATGAAAATCGTTCAGAATCGGTTAGAGAGGCCGCGACAATGACCGAGGAACGATCACCTCGACGACGAACGACGATGCTAATGATGAGGAGGTTCGATTTGCGGGGAAGGCGAAGGACAGCAAGGAGGATTCAGCTGGCACTGGGAGGGTTTCCTTTGGAATCGGCGATCGGGCGAACACGGGGAGCTTGTAATGAAAGGCAGGATGCGCCCGGGACCGGACGTGATGTTCTTCGCATACAGAAACAGTTCCAGAAACGAAGGAAACACCGTCGCTGGACTATGATGATTGGTACCCCTCCATCAAGATAACCGTGGCCTAAGTATGGCATGGCAAGAGGACGTCACCGGATAACTTTTTATACCTTGTCAACAGTTTCTACATTTACTTATGACGTGACACTAATTTCGTTCTCATCAAGCCGGAAATTACTGTTTCTTTCTTCGTGGCTCGGATCTCGCATCGGGCGTCCTCGCATTTTACAAATCGGGTGCATTGTTGAAAAAAGTACTCGCACTCGTTTATTGCGAATCTCCTTGGGATTGGAATTTCACTTGTTTTCTTTTACTTCCCTTGTAATTTCTTAATCTCCTTGAGGAGAAATTTGTCGAAGTTGAGGAAAAGGATGATCGAATCGTTTCCTGTACAACTTAAAACGAATAGTATTAGTACCTCTAAAGAAGTTAAAGACAGGAGTAAAGATACGATTAGAAAGATGAGAAAGTGGATTATTCATGCAAGTGATTATCTCTAATTCTAAATACGTATCTGTACAAGTGCAATTTTTTCTGTTACACTTTGTTAAGAATTTTAGAAAAAAATAACAAGTTTTCATTATTTAAGTTCCATTGGTGGTTCTTATTTTTTTTTTTTATCGACGGATTATTGTACAGTAAAACCAATTTTCATAGTATAACGCATGCAAAGAATGCTAATAGGATAAACGATGTATTTGCATAGGGGAATACCAGGGAATTGGTAAATTGAAATGTCGCGTGCATTCGACCGCGACAGAGATTTTTGTAGAGGAAAGCGATTCAGTAAAACGAAACGATCAATACCTATCAATGGGACTTTCTGTTGCAGCCTACACACAGGTGAGCATAGAATGAAGTAAACGCACGTCAAGAGTTCATAGACCCAGTCAGCCTATTATTTAAGTTTATGCATTTGAGTTTGCGCATTAGTAGCTGTGCAACGTGTACTACACCTCTGTAATTTTTAATGTGCTTTCACAGACATTTTATGTGCCAACTTATTTGAATCTTTTCAAACAACATGAATGATATCTGGACAATGAATAATTAGAGTAATTTACTATTACAATAAGACTTCTACTTTGATAAATTACGTTTTAACAGAGATAAATTATAATTTTAGGTAAAAAAGAGTATATAGATATGCGGATATTTAAGTGTTTATATTACGATTTCGCTGTTTAATTTTAAATTGAATAAAGTCCGATAACTTAGTGAATCTGACGAGTTAAATTTCTGTGTTTAACTAAGTGTGTGTTAAACTAAGTCTTTTTTTGAGAGAATATACCCATTAATAGAAAATACTACATACACTACAGTATACTATACTATAATATACACTTATAAATAGCGCAGGGAATGTACAACATATACATATGTATCTTCTTATGTATATGGCAGATGCATCCGATTAAAGCCTACCATTCACATGAAATCATGCGAAAATTCTATACGGTTTTCATATCTTATGTATGTACATATATACAGGGTGGACCACGTGAAACAGACCACCTAATTATCTTCTCTGGAATTCTATTATTCTGTGGAATATAATAAAAATATGTCTGTTTGCTTAGAATAATCTTTAAGTTGAAAAAGTAAATTAACTATTTCTTTCTGGTAAAAAAGAAATTCAATATCTCTATCTTTACAATATTCAACGTGCACATCTCACAGCAATAATCGAATATCTTTTTTCATTTTATCAAATCTTTATCAATGTTCTTCCGGTCCGTCTAGACACATCCGGAAGTTGCGGCCACGTCAACGTGTTTCCAAGAAATGCAAAATTCATGTTACGTCAATTTAAAAATCGATTATTATTGACAGAAGATCGTTTTCCCGTGACGTGAGTGCGTTAATGGGATACGTGTCGCCAAGCGTGAAACAATAGCACGCCTCTCTGTCCTTGTCCGTTTCAGCACCGCTAGGAATCGGTTCCTCTTTTGCGCTATCCTTCGAGAGAGAGGACTCCTTCTCTCTGTTAGTGCATGCCTCACCCTCACGGATGACACTTTGTTCGGGCTCCGCGATAAGTTTTACTCGTCGTCACGAATTTGCATTCGTTCCTGCCAGCCGGCTGAACGAAATGCGTCGACCGAACTTCTCTTAACTTCTGAGCAACATCTCCCGTTTTTTTTCACGCGTGTTTCTTCCTCTCCTCGTTCTTCGCTCGACGGTTTTTCTTTGAAAAAAAAAAAAATGTGTCAGTGGATGGTTTCTCGTGAGTTTGAAATTTTTACGTTGCTCGTCTTACCTCGATGGACTTCTCTTTGTCTGGTGTGAAATCTTTCCTTCGACTTTCCGTTTCGTTCGATATTTTTCTTTTTTCTGTCGATCGTTTTGTGACACGTGATTTTGGTGAAGAGAAGTACCGCTGGACGATAGGAAGACTGTTGTTAAAGAAAAAAAAACAGAGGAAAATAAGTAAAAGAAATACAAAATGAACGCGGAGGAGGTAAAAGTTGGATGCTTTCAAGTGGTGATCGTGTTTCTGCTTGGTGTTAATTATGTCATAGTTGCTATGAGCCACGCGTTGCCGGTTTTTCACAATTACACACCGAAATATTACTGTCAGGTAAGTATTTTCTTCTTCTTCCTTGTTTCTATTTTACGAATATCAAATACGGATTTTGTATGGAAAATCTCGTTTAACTGCACTTCTGTTTCGACTATCACACGTCTTACAAAATTCACCAATTATTTGACGCTTGTATTTTATTTATGGATTTTGTTACTATCAGCACACACTTTGATGCCCCTTTTTACGTGAATCTAATTGATATTTGTTTATCATTAGAAAAATATGAGATTGTTGGAGAAAAATGTTCGTACTATAATCTTTTACGTTAATATTTTTATATCGTAGTTTTGAAAAAAATGAATAATTTCTTGATACACTTTTTACTCTTATAAGTGCATTTTTAAATGTAAATTATTATCAGACCGATTGGTACAGTGCAAAGATACGAGTCGGTAAATTAAATATTAACCATAACATGTTATAACTAGTTGTTACTTTAGTAAAGGGAACAATTGTCCTACTAACTATTGTGTCCTGTGAAGTTCCTTTTCAACTCTATAGACGCAACTATGTACATAGAAATGGTCGTAACTTCGTATCGCACGTGGTAGCGAAATTTAGCAATTGTATAATGAAAATGATTCAGAAAAGGGACAATAGAAAACCGCTACGAAGAAGATCGACAATTTTTACTTTTTCCTCGTTATTCACGTTAACGTTGTAATATTGAGAAATTTTAAAATAGATATCAAGTGCGCTCGTGATTTACGTACTCAGGAATATAAAGTTAATTTTTCAAAAATTGAACAAGTGCAATACAGTGCAGTTTTATTTCAGAAATGTATCACTTTCTGTTGAAAAAATATCGAACAATGTCGAATATTTCATTTCTATTGTCATTAACAATTATGCTTGAGAAGTACGAAACGGTAGTCCGGTTAATTTCCATTTTTTCCAATTTTTAAACACCCTTGAATTATTTAGCATGCTTAACGTTTTATGGGATATACGGGAAGGTTGATTTGCATATTACAGGCGAAGAATGGGACGAAACGAACGTACGGTTGCCAAGAGGTCGGCAACGTGACTGTTGCAACCAACGGAACTTCCGGCTTCAAAGAATCCTTGGATGCAGATTTCTGCTTCGGCGAATATCAATTTTCAACCGAATTCGGGGAGAATAGCGTTGTAACAGAATGGGGTTTAATTTGCGAGAAACGGTATTTGACGTTTCTTGGACCGACTGTTTACTATATTGGGGTTTTAATGGGCGCCTGGATCGCTGGACTTTTAGCAGATCGTATAGGAAGACTTCCGGTTCAAGCGATTTGCCTTTACACTCAGGGCACAATGGCTGTTGCATTATACGTTGTGCAGGTAATTAACTTCTTCTATTTATTTAGGATGACAAAGCGAAACAGCGAGAAATTCATGTTTTTTTAAATAAACAAAAATGTGCAATAGTTCGTTATTGTATTGACTTTGAATTTATATTGGTAATATATTGAAATGTACAGTTTAATACTTAACTTTCTAATCTCCTTCTTGAATTCATTTAATCTTTCACTTTACTCAATATTATATGTATAATTTACATTGTAGGTTGAAATATACTTACTTGGTTGTCCAATAAGTTCGTACCGTTTATCGATGTGCCATTTAAATCAATATTTCAAACATACTTTTAAATGTTACGAAAGTCACACTCCTCTCGTTTTACAACTTCTTCCTATCCTTTTAGCAAAGTCGTTATACCGTCACTACAAAATTTCTTGTTTTTCATTCAAATACTTTTTAATGTTTATTTCTTATAGACTTGATATTGTCAAATTTTTTGCCCACTAAAAAATGTTGTAATTTGGTGGGACAATGTCCGGAGAATATGGCGGGTGTGATAAAATTTCTCAATCGAATTTACGCAAATTTTTTGCACTTCTTGTGATCTGGCATTATCGTAGTGAAAAATCACTTTGTTTTAATTTAAGAGTCCTGGACGTTTCAATACTATTGTTTCTCTTAACTTTTCTAACTGAGCACGTTATACGTCTGAATTATACAAAAGAGTAACTCAAAATACAAACCACTGAACTTACTGGACGACCTAATAGTGTTCCATTATCTTTTTAAATGAATTTTTAACGAATTTTAAATTAACGATAATGAACATTCGAACTTCGAAACTCCTATAATTACTTTGCGTTAATTAAATGCGTTTGTTGCATGTAGAAATGGACAAAACGTGAAATATGGAAATGAACATTGAATACCAAATTAACGGGAATATGTTCCTTTTTCCTTGCTGAATAGAGCTTTCATTTCAGAATTACCCCACGTTTCTGGCTCTTCGTGGACTGCAAGGAGTCTTTGTTCAGGGTTTACAAAATTCGACGTATATTCTTTCTTTGGAATTGTTGCCCGCGAAAGCACGGACATTCGTCGCGTTGGTTATGCAAATTGGATGGGCCATCGGTTTGATCCTTCTGGCCGCGCTTAGTTATGTAATACCGGATTGGAGAATTTTACAATTGGCAGTCTCGGTTCCCACTGCGGCAACTGTACTCTACATTTGGTAATTAGAGATATCGATATTATATACACACGAACAAGTGAATAATTTGCAAAATATAAAGTAAGAAATAAATTATTTTAACCCTTTCATTGTTATTGCCGGTTTGAAAATTTGCCGTGCTGTGCCCTTGGCGTCTTTTCGCATGCTTTCACCTTAATTTAATCTTTAATGAAATTAATTTAAAAAAAGATATTTAAAGACGACAATCTATCACGTTTACGTACTAAAATCTGCAACAGCGAAAGGGTTCATATATTTTCATTGAATTCTCTTTCGTTTCATCTGAATTATTCGCGAAAAATTAAGTCTATAAATTTCATGATTGAACAAAACTTTCATTTTTCTAACTCACTAACCAGGGCCGTATTTACCGTAAGGCGCAAACTGAGACTTCACTCTCTATAGTTCCATAATAAAATACATATTTTTAAATAAACGCCAAATTTATGAATTCGATTAATTGAAATAGACTTTGTTCTTTCGAGTCCTGGTAATGATGTTTCGCCTAGGGCCTCCGAAAGTATAAACGCGGCCCTGTCGCTAACAGTAACAATGCAATTTCCAATCGGCACTATAATAATATGATTTTATTATTTCGATTACAATACAAAGATACTTTCAGGATTATACCAGAATCGCCAAGATGGCTGTTGGCAAAGGGTAAAACGACGGAAGCAGATATGGCAGTGGAACGTATCACGAAGTACAATGTCTGTTGCACCAGATCACGGAGGGAAAATGCTAAAACGGAGAGCAGCATTCTCGAGGCAGCGACGCCGGTGAAACCGGAAAGGAAGTCGCGTGTTTCATGTGCAGACTTGAAGAAATCGAAAACCGATAACGAAATGAAAGAAGAAGCTGCGAATTTGCTGAATAGCAACACGGATGCAGTGCAACAGAAAGTTCGAAGTAAGAGATCGGGATATTTGTCGTATTTGAATGTGAAAAAAGTATTTAATAATTATTATAGATTACATTTATTCATTTTTAACACATTCAGAGATCCATGGAAAATATCAGATTTTTTTTTCTATAACTTCTACATTGCAATATATAATTTTAACGAAACAGTCGTTGTATTAGATTCGATATATTATTTAATATTCTTCCCTTTACTTTTCACAGTTATAGTTGGAATTACAATACAAGTATATTATATGTATATTTTTTTAGAAACGAGCTTGAGAGCGATTTCAGAAAATTTGGAGAGCAAACTCCCCAAAACGGAATCAGAACCGGAAGCTGCTCAACGTGCAAATGGAGAGATAGAGAAGAGGAATGCTCCGTCAAGCTCGAAGACTCATCGGAAGTCGAAATCGATATCACAGCCGGCTGGTAATCAACGACTTTCCATGAAAAATGCGTACGACACCGTGGAGCTACGAACACCCGTGAAAAAGGAGCCTTCGCCGAGTAAAGAAGAAGAGAAAAAGATTAACAAAGTCAAAGAAAAATCTAGCAACGTTCAAACGAGAGAAGAATTGATGGAACTGTTCAAGTCTAAATCGTTAAGAAAGTATGGTGTCGTAATGATTTGTCAATGGTAAGATTTCTCTTGGACTTATTTTCCATAATCGAAGAAATTATTTGGTGAAATCTCGATTAATCCCTGAGTATCAATTTAGTTTGAAGAAATCTTCAGTTTCACTTTATTGTACGATATATGTATATTTTTGAATTTCCATGAAACGAATAATCTGTTAGTTATCACGACTTTTAATTCACTAAACAAGTGTACGTGCATATTTCCGTATAAGAAATACATGTAACGTATTAGACTCGTAAAGATATACTCTGTGAGATAGTATGATTCTGTACGCGGGTTTATTTAATTACTTATTTACTATGTTTATTCAAGGTTGACTTCTTCTATGGCGTGCTATGTGTTTATGACGCTTGTCCCGACTTTCCCTGTAAATAGACATGTCACTTTTGCTCTAGGAGGGGCATTAGAAATTGCAACGTACGTGTTTGTCTACTTTGTATTATCCAGATATGGTAGACGAGTGCCGATGTCCGCGTATCAATCTCTCAGCGGTACAATTTGCATCTTATTGGCAGCTATAATTATTTTGTCTAATCCTGCGACTGCAATCGGTACGTAATCGTAACAAGAAATATCATTTACAGTCACACAACAGCGTATTTGCTTTACACTCGCGAAAATTAACCTATGTATAAAATACGATACGTTTCCTTTATATTTGATAATCTACGTTTTCTCGATACATTTTCGTTTTGTACAAAATATAAAGCGTAATTGTATTAAGTACTTACGTATCTGCAATAAATGATATCGAACACTCTGTAATAAGATGATAGACGTATTTACGATAGATCGATACATTATCGAAGTAAGGTTTGCGAATATGTTCATGTTATTACCATAAATTGCGGGAAAAATACATTTAAAAGGTTATTACATTAGCGGTTATAACTTGACAACTTCTCGGCATACTTTCGACTAATATTTCGGCATATGAAATTGCTAGTGATCCACATATTTTTCGAATACGTTTTCTTCGAAGTTTGTACTTCTTTATAACCTTTGTATATTGTTACATTTGATCATTTTTATGTCATTATTTGTAGATGTCACGAAGACCGTTATGCTCCTATTTGGAAGAGTAGCAGTTATGAGTACAGTTTCCGTAGCATATTTGTACACGATCGAAATATTTCCAACTGTTGTGCGAGGGACCTGTTTGGGCTTGTGCACCGTTTTCGCAAAAGTCGGCAGTTTGTGCACACCGCACGTATTAATATCGGTAAGATTTACATATACCGGATGTCATTGTTTTCGAAATTCATTTAACGGAACGTACGGGATCGTTGTACCGAAAATTATGACCGATTCGACACGAATTCTTGTTAAAAATTTACAAGATATATGTATGTATAATTTACGAGTGCAATAAATGTTTTTTTAGGGTGAACATTTTCCAGTCACCATTCCGTTGATAATCATTGGAATGCTTTGCTTAGTGTCTGGAGCACTTGCTTTACTTTTACCAGAGACTTTGCACAAAGTTTTACCCGACACAACAGAGGACTCTGAGTTGTTGATCGTAAAAAGGAGAGAAAAGAAGAATAACGAGAATCTAAACAACGAGAGTGCACTTGTCAATGAGGACACTTCAGAAAGGGAAATATTGAGAGCTAAATTATTCTCGGAAGATTGGGTGGACGCAGGAAATGGTATATTAGTGAATTTCACGGAGAATAAAAATTCCGATTGAAAGATTTACAATTCTGTATAGACAAAATTCATATTGCATTTTTATATGCTGATGAATCATAATCAGCAGCTTGATGATAAAGTGAGATTATCCTTATTATTTTCCATGAAGACTAACTTTTTATGGCAACTTTTAACAAATGATTTTAAATGCAAAACTCTGATGCAAATTGCTGTTTTATGTCTTTTTGTGTGCAATTGATACATTAAAAAGGGTTTATTTAATTTATAATTGTGAATTACCTTGAATTAATCGTTACTCATCCAAGTTGAAATTGCGCTTAAAGTTAAAAAAGAATTTCTTATAAATTGATGAAAATATTCGAGAAAATGTATCATTGTGTATTATACTCTTTATACACATGCGCATATTAGATTATTATGCTAATATTTATTATTCGTTATACTTAATATATTACATGTTAGAAATACAATACAATCAGTTGTCACTGCCTGTTAAAGTAAATTTAAGTCTTGCTTAGAAATTTTTAAAATTAAGTAAGAAAGTGATAGAAAAGTTTTTAACAATTTTGCAGTTTAGAGGCTGAAATAACGATGCGTAATACTTTATTAGCTTCCTTAGGTATAGTACATATACATTTTTATTTGTAGTATTAAATAAATGCGTTTGTATATACAATTACGAAATTAACTCCCAAGAAAAAATTTTTATGAAATTAAAATCAAAACAGGATTATTATGATTTTGACTAAGTATTAATGTTAACTTAATAATTGTATATATAAGTTTAATAGGTGCCAAAGTTTGCTATTCTTTTATTGTCATCTTTCAGTAAATAAAAATGTTTTTTACACGAAATGTTGTGTAAGTACTTTACAAAAAAATAAAGTGGAATAAAATATGAAATATTATACTGATACATAATGTTTCAAAGTTAATTAAACTTTATAAATAAATGATGTGAATAGACTTACTAAAACTGTAAAAATCCACTTCTTCTATCCTTATTTTCAATGATTTCCTTTTTTTCCACAGTCTTGAAGTATAAACAGTCATAAACACTTATGAACAGCTATTCAGGTTTCAGCATCACTCGTCCAAAATCAGTTTCTACAATTGGAGTGTCTTTATTTCAATTTGTTTTCAGACAGTGTTTGAAATAATACACTTCTTTTAATTTGGTACATGATAACATTTGAATTTTTATAATTTTTCATTTATTTATTTGAGTTAATCTCCTTTGTTTACAAGAACATGTTCTTAGTTGTTTTAAGTATAGTATTAAAGATTTTTTTAGTTGCCTTTTTATAAGTAAAATATGTACAAGAGATCAAAGGAAAAGAGGGAGAAGTGTAATCACAAGTGTATTGTGAACATAGAAAAGTACTTTATTTGTGACTTATCACAGCCAAAAAATATAACTAAAACAATTCTGATAAGTAACTATAATTATAGATAATATTATGTAATATCATTTTAATATTGTAGTTCTTATGGACCCATTTAATAACAAGTTTGTTATATATTATTCAAGGAACTTTAGGTTGTACAATACCATTGTTCTGAGGATTTGCATGTTGCGTTTGTTCTGCTGCAGCTTGTAACAGTCTTGTCCTACGTCTGGTGTAATGTTGCCATAATAAAATTTGTTGATCATCTATAAACTTTGTACACTGGGAGTTTACTACTTCTCTTCTAAAGTGTTCATATTGTAATAAATCTAAGAAGTACAAGCACATAGGGTATTTCAAATACTTTGCATACTCTGGCTCCTTCCAATACAACAGATATTTCAGATAATTTATAAATGTTGAGTCCTTGAAGTAACCACGCTGTGCTAAAACTGTGAAAATATTTGTTGGTACTTTTATAATAAATTATGAAAAATTTAAGATTATTATGTAACATACAATTTAAATAATTTGGATTTGCAAGACACTGAACAAATTCTAACTCAACTTGGAATCTTAAGCGTTGTTGATCGTCTGTTTCTGGACCCCCTGAAAAATAAATGATGCGTTTAACATAGAATATTATTATTTTCAATACAATTATTATGTTTAATGTATAATGATATATTATCATGTATCTCAAAAGATTATCTTTTAGAAAAAATATTGTATACAATACTCTAACCTAAAACTTATTACAGACTGAATAATATGTGAACAAGTGTTAAAATACTTAATTTCATAATTACCTTTCCTTCTTCATAAATCTTGAAAAATATTAATGAAATGAATGTAACCACTTTCTCTCAATTTATTTGACATATAAAAACAATATAAGAGATATTGCAAGCAATGCAAGCATTGTAAGTAATACAAATTAAATTTTAAAATGTAAGTGTATTATACAAAATACCAACTAAAACGGTGAAGACAATGTTGTTTCAATTCAATTATTTAACGAAATTAAGTTTAGTTTGAATAGATTGTTCAATAATCACTAAAAACACATACATAAAAGGGAAATAAGAAAAGGAAAAAGCGTAAGGTATAAAGTGTTACACAAGCGAAAATGATAAAGGATTTAAAAATTATAAGAATTCAATAAAACACACCGTTCATTCCAATGAAGGATGGTTTTCTGCCTTTCATGAGACCCGGAGGATCATCCAAACGGTTCATAGTACATTAATTCCTAATAGTTAATTAGTTTCTACCGCACTGATTATGAAAATACTTTTTTACTTTATGAAAAAATAAAAAACAGATATTTAAAACGACTTGCAACCGCAACAAAGCTTTTTTGCGAAACTTCTTCACAGTTCCTTGCGGTTCTTAAGATTTTCGTATACATATCGCAGCTTGTGACGTAGATGAGTGTGGTCAAATAAACTGTGGATACACAAGCGCTATCATTTTTCGTGATCGTTTAAGTAACTAACAAGCGCGCATTTTGCTGCGGGAAATCTAAATTTTCATTTTAAATTCACGATCTCTTTAACAATAAAGGGTGCCTGAATTTTGCAATTTGTAAAACTCTTTTCTCTGACACAAGAGGAAGGGATGTACAAAAGATACACAAAAAGCACGTGTGTTCGTATGACGAACATGTAGAAGAATGAACATTTAACATTTAGAATAATGTGTGCTGCTTAACCCATAATGTAATCATTTCTTTTCGGTAATATTTGTTATCTGTAATAAGTGTCATAATCAGTTAAAATGAAGGAAATTGTTAGAGGTTTCATCTTTTCCGTGTATTAAAATTCCGTGTTATTATCTAACGGTGTAAATCATTATTTCTGTCTGAGAACATGATAACGAATAACTGTATAAATTAATAAACATCTAACATTTTACTTTTACGTAGTTCATTATATAAAACTGGAGCACTTTCCGCGTAAGGATTTCTGATTTTGTTAATTAACATTCATTAAACGAACAAGATTTTCGTGATATTAAATTCTATTTATAAAAGAAACCTAACTTTCACAATTTTCTATTAAAACTAGTGAAACTATTATTTTTAGTCTTAAAAAGTGAATATATTTATAACTGTAAAAATTTTCATTTTAATCTAAAATCCCATAAAGCAATATCCTGCATAAAGAATTTCACTCAATGCATAACTATTATAACATTTGTGTCCTTAAATACCTCCGTGATTTACGTTTTCATAATTGATCTATGTCCAATTTATCCATTTGTGTAAATCTTTAATTAAGTTTGCCCGATTGCAAGAATTTCATTGCACGCACTGATTCTCTATTTTATCTGCTTACGTATGTAACTCATTCGACTCTCTAATTATGCCAAATCTTCCATAACTGTACATGTTGCATTACAACAATGCTCTGAATGTTTCACACATATTTCTCTTATTTTATCTAATTCATCTAATTATCGAACTATTTCGAAATGGACGTAACCTGAATGCCTCTGTAAAACTAAAATCTAAATATAACTCGTCTATTTTTTTTTCTTTTTTTTTTTAGCCAGAATCAATAAACGAAACGACGAGACACGCGGTCTCTTTACTTTTTGCAATAGAACAGCTTACAGAATTTCAAGTATGTTTCTCGAAGACGTTGTATCATGCGGAACGCCCGCGTCCAAAGCGGAACAACGGGGAACTAGATCAGAAAATGATTAAATTAGAAAGCGTCGCGATTACTTTGTTGGTAGCGGTGAATGCCTCTTCCATTCTGGTGGGATGCTTTCATAATTCCCCTCCGTTTATGATCCCTCGTGAAAATTAATTAACATTATATATATCGACGTGCGTTACGAAAAGTAGCGCGTACCATTTTTCTTACGAAGGAACAGCACGTGTCAGTTTGTTACGTAAAGAAGCACATTTCGTAGTTTCTTACGAATATCAGCACGTTTGATCTTCCGTCGTGAAAACTAAATACACTATACTGTTTCGCCACGAAGAGTAGCATATTTTGAATTTTACCGCGAAAGCTAACACGTTTCCGCGTGTGGTTCGTTTAAATTGTCCAAACTGCACTTTCCATCGAAAAATTCAACCTTTGAAAAATATTGTTTAACAAATAATAATTCCATCTAATCTCGAAAACAAACAAAAATATGAAAATGTTTCACACTCTCGTCTCCGATGCACTCCAGAAGCGAATGGAACCGAAGAGAGATAGCCGGGGATTCCGAGAATACCTTCCTCCCTCGATAACAGTCGTGACACGAACCCCAGCCTACGTCAATTAAGCGGGGAATACTGTATATTACGATCGAATCAGGACAAAATTCTGATTAGATTGAATTCGATCATATCTGATTTACATGATCCAAAAAAAAAAAATCAAATCCTGTCGGTTGTTGTGGTATAAAGCTAAACATGCTTTTTTTGCACTGAAACAAATGTGTTTCTTCTCATCGCTACAACCGGTACATGTTACTTTTCGTGGCAAATCACTCGAACGTGTTAGTTTTCGCAGCATAAGACGAAGTATACTATTTTTCGTAGTCGACCAATTCAAACGTGCTACTTTTCGAAACGACAAACGAAACGTGATACTTTTCGCGACAACGAAGCAAACACGCGCTATTTTTCGTAAAACAAATCGAACGTGCTACTTTTCGTAACGTAACGATATATGTATGTCGAAAGAAGGACGGGTTGCCATCTTAGGGAGGCCACTTCAATTTCACGATTTCATACACCGTGCACGGACGGAACGTTCGAGAACGGTCTTAATGCACGGTTTGCCGTACGCTGCAATTATCCTCGTGTTCCGCAGTCTATACGCCGGAAAAAAAAACATACATACACGCTGTTCTTGAATCGGAAATGCGCGCCGTTCTCCTCGGCCGGTCCGATGAAAAGCCAACATCGCTACTATATGTTGCCGCGTAACGTTAAGCGTGTACGGACCTGATTAATTTCGGATATGAATTAAAAATCACCGCGTCCACTGTTTCTGCCAGTCTTCGTCGAGACTCTAGGCCAATCGGTGATATCCCCCTGGGCTTTTCCATCGAGTTGATACTTACGAGGACAACTTCTGCGTTTCATTATCTAGCGACACTCTCCATGTGAGTTGTGCGGTGATATCGTATATCCAGTGATCAGTTGGCTGAGTCTTTCGACGCTTCAAGGATTCTCGCGTAAACACTCGAGTGCTGTCAACGAGATTCGAGCATCTTTTCGAACGTATTTGTAAAATAAGAAATTACTATGGCTGGCAAGAAGATGCTCCCTTTGCCGTATCCTTTCTCGCTGGAGGAAGCGCTGAAGAAGAATCCGGAAACAAAGACGTCGGATATCGGGATGCTGAGGGAATGGTGCGAGAAGCAGCAACATCTTCCAATAATTTCCGATCTGCATCTGTTACTCTTCCTGCACAGCAATTACAACAGCATGGAAGCAGCGAAGAACACTGTGGAGAATTTCTTTACGATCAGGTCACACGTTCCAGAATTCTTCGCGAACAGGGATCCTCTAGGATCGAAGGAACTGCGCCAGGCGTTCAACACTGCGTAAGTTCTTGTAAACTTAGAGGAGAATAATTTCGTTTCGTGGTTACTTGCATTTTATTCAATTTTGTGAAAAAAAAAACAATTTCTACGAGATACTATTGAAGTTTCTATTGAAGAATTATACTATTAGAAATGTTACTAAAGAGATGTTTATACACGGAGATATTAAATGATGGTCAATTAAGTGTAAAACGTATGCATACATTGGCATAACCTGTTCGTATAAAAAGTGACGTTCCATTTAGATTACGCATACTTCTATATCTATTGAATTTACAGTCCATTAGTGAAAATACGTGTATTTTTTGAAATGTGACACTTCAAACGGTATTGTAATTTATTCTGGTCTTGGACAGTAATTTAACAATCACTTTTATTCCATTTATTTTCCACGTTTTAGGAGTGTCTCACCATTTATGGATTAGGAGTACATATGTATAAAGTCGAAAATTGTAGGTACTCGTTACTACACCAGAACGAGTCTATAATTAGAAATTAATATTCCATCTTTACCACAACACAAACAATCCGCTGGTTAAGCGAACGTACACTACCGCTCAAAATTTCCGTTACAACGGTAGTACAGAAGAGCGACGATGAAAAAAGAAAAGGAAATTAATTAGACGAGAATGATAAACGTCGCTCTGTCGAGTTCGACGTAAAAAGAACCTTCGAATTTGACAGAAGAATTCCATTTTCGTCGAGTAGAACGAAACGAATCGAATCACATCGCGTTGCACTTTTGCACGTTTGCGCGAGTAAACTTTCGAACGGCAGTGTACACGCAACTATTGAGAAATTAGCAATGCTAATGTCGCGCACCAGCAAACAAGAGATAACGATTTCCGCGGTAATTAATTTTTCTGCCTCTCTAACGTCTGTACATATAGATTCACTACCCAATTGTCAGGCCTCTCGAAGCAAGGTTACAACGTACTATTCGGGAAGTTAATTGACGGGGATTCGTCACATTACTCCTTCGAGGAGTGCACCAAGTACTTCTTCATGATATCAGATCTGATCGGGCTGAAAAATGGACCGTGCGACGGATACGTTTTCATCGGTGACGCTTCTGAAGTGTCACTGGGCCACGTAGGCCGGATGAGTCCCATGGGAATGAAGAAGCTGGTGATGTACGTTCAAGAGGCGATTCCTGTCCGTTTGAAGGAGATACATTTTATCAATACACCGCCGGTGATGGACGTGATAATGAACATGGCGAAGCCGTTCATGAAGAAGGAACTCTGGAGCATGGTAAGAATAAATTCGATATTCTGCTTTAAAATTTGGACCAAACGAGTTTTGTAGAGTTATGTCAATTATGTACGTGTGCTAAAAATTTCATTGAAATTGGTTGATGGAGAAACAGGGGACAGGCATCGAAAGATGTAAGAATCTTCAGATTTGTTACAGTTGTTGGCCAAAAGATTTTCACAATTTTCAACCATTTGTAACTCATAGCAACGTTAACCGAGTTCGATGAAATTTTCAGCTTGTGTATAATTGAAGTAAATCTACGAAACGTATGTTTGAAATTTTCATTACAAGCTCGGATGAAAAAAGTTGTAAACAGTGATACATATTTACAATTTTCTTCGCGATTTCCACAACTTGCAATTTTTTCCAAATTTCTTGGAAAACGTCATCTAGTATACTAATCCTTATAGCTTCTCCAACAAAAAACTCAAGTCGTTAGATTCAATTTTAAAAAAGTTATAACGTTCTAAAGAGTGTCCGAATATTAGCGGGAGTCACTGTATATACATATATATAGTATATAGAGGGGTTATTTATAGGGGTGGAGAAATATGTTGAGAATGTATAATGACGTTTTGTTTGTGCGGAGCTTTTGTTCCCGTGTGAGTTGAGGTTGCAAATTGATCGAGGTGTGGGACACGATTGCAGTAGCAGGAAAAGAACTTTTATATCGATTTTTAAGTAGCAAGATACATTTATTTCACTCTTCATCTTTGAAACTTCAATGCACACATTGCTGCAGTCTCTATTCTCGAATGCAACATTGATGGAAGCACTATTTCGAATGCAAAACATTGTTGTACGCGTTACTTTCGAATGCAACATTGCTTGAAGCGTTATACTTGAACGCAAACATTATTGGAAACTCTATTTCTGATTGCAACATTATTAGAAGCGTAATTTCGAACGCAAACATTATTACAAGCACTACGCTTGCATGTAACATTGTTACAAGCGTCATTCACGCAAGCGAAATTCTATTTTTTCCAACTTTGCTGCTGAGGTACGCTCCCGAAAGTTGCACATTGTTGCAAAACGCGTTATCGGGCTTGCAACTTTGTTGTCTCGAAAATTGCACATTGTTGCACGACGCCCCGTTTTGCAACATTGTGCTTTTTTCGGGAGCGACTCTCGGCAACAAAGTTGCAAATGCGATTCTTCTTTTGTATCTTTGTTGCCCGGAGTCGCTCCCGATAATTGTACACTGTTGCAACACGCAGTATCGAGTTTGCAACTTTGTTGCTGGGAGTCGCTCCCGAAAATTGCACATTGTTGCAAAACGCGTTATCGAGCTTGCAACTTTGTTGTCTCGAAAATTGCACATTGTTGCACGACGCCCCGTTTTGCAACATTGTGCTTTTCCGGGAGGGACTCTCGGCAACAAAGTTGCAAAACGCGATTCTCCTTCTGCAACTTTGTTGCTGGGAGTCGCTCCCGAAAATTGCACATTGTTGCAAAACGCGTTATCGAGCTTGCAACTTTGTTGTCTCGAAAATTGCACATTGTTGCACGACGCCCCGTTTTGCAACATTGTGCTTTTTTCGGGAGCGACTCTCGGCAACAAAGTTGCAAATGCGATTCTTCTTTTGTATCTTTGTTGCCCGGTGTGGCTCCCGATAATTGTACACTGTTGCAACATGCAGTATCGAGTTTGCAACTTTGTTGCTGGGAGCCTCTCCCGAAAATTGCACATTGTTGCAAAACGCGTTATCGGGTTTGCAACTTTGTTGTCTCGAAAATTGCACATTGTTGCACGACGCCCCGTTTTGCAACATTGTGCTTTTTTCGGGAGCGACTTTCGGCAACAAAGTTGCAAACGCGATTCTCCTTCTGCAACTTTGTTGCCGAGAGTCCCTCCCGAAAAAAGCACAATGTTGCAAAACGGGGCGTCGTGCAACAATGTGCAATTTTCGAGACAACAAAGTTGCAAACCCGATAACGCGTTTTGCAACAATGTGCAATTTTTGGGGGAGGCTCGAAGCAACAAAGTTGCAATCCCATTAAAGCGCGTTTGCAACTTTGTTGCCGAGAGTCCCTCCCGAAAAAAGCACAATGTTGCAAAACGGGGCGTCGTGCAACAATGTGCAATTTTCGAGACAACAAAGTTGCAAACCCGATAACGCGTTTTGCAACAATGTGCAATTTTCGGGAGCGACTCCCAGCAACAAAGTTGCAAACTCGATACTGCATGTTGCAACAGTGTACAATTATCGGGAGCGACTCCCGGCAACAAAGATACAAAAGAAGAGTCGCGTTTGCAACTTTGTTGCCGAGAGTCCCTCCCGAAAAAAGCACAATGTTGCAAAACGGGGCGTCGTGCAACAATGTGCAATTTTCGAGACAACAAAGTTGCAAACCCGATAACGCGTTTTGCAACAATGTGCAATTTTCGGGAGCGACTCGCGGCAACAAAGTGCAAACCTGACAGCGCGTTTGCTACATGATGGCTTGCTCGGGCTCTCGAAAAGACATACATTGTTACAAACGCGACTTTTCGCTTTTGTAACTTTGTGAAATGTGTTATGTTTGAAACGCAGGTATTTTAGTTTGTAACGCTGTACGACATGCAAAACTTTGTTGTATGCAGTACTTTGTACACAAAACATTGCCACAGGCATGTACTTGATTACTCGTGTTCAAATAAAAAAGTGCTAAGCCATATTTTCAATTTATTCATCTATGGATAATGCAGCTTGTACGAAAGCATCTGTATGGAAAATATATGCATTAATCGTGTTCCTTATTAAAATAAGGTTTGTACTAAGCAGAAATTTCATCCCATTCGAAATGAAATATACTTACAATACAATTGAAACCTCCCAAAGTGTGTTCTCTTCTCTCAAAGTAAGTTACCAATCGAATTCTTAGAACCCTACATCGATTAACCAGCAAAAACGACACACAGAAATAACAATATCGAAGTTTTAAAACAGTACCGTTCATAATTCGTAGCTACCTCTCGTACAATATCTTAAAGCAATTTACGAGCACATCAGTTTCCACGTCCATTCGATTCACCCTCGTGAGCAGCCGGGAATCGATCGCGAGCACCCTAGTATAGGTATATACTGTTGTTCGTAAGTATTGGGACACCCGTTATGTTCGTGTAGAAAGTATCATATGAATTAAATTACATTTCCCCGCCAAAGTTAGCGTGATATATTAGCGAAGTGTGTACTCGTTATACTTTGGAAATTGTAGAGTAAATAATTCTTTCTTTAGGAACATAATCATTTTCTAAGAAGTTTTCTGTGCCAAATAATTTTGTGTTAAACTTGTAACGGCAATATTTAGTAGATTTCGATAAGTTTCAAAAGATTTCAATTAGTAGAGTACAGTAGATTCTAATAGAATTTAGCAGATTTCAGTAGATTTTAGTACATTTCAGCAGAATTCAGTAGATTTCAATAGATTTCGGTAGATTTCAGTATGCTTCACATTCAGTAAGTGTCTTAATACTTTCGAACGGAAGTCTGTGTACGTAAAGTATGAAATAAGAGATGAATTTTATCTATCACCTATGTTCAATTTTGAAAAATATCATTTTGCGTTGAGAAAATATCGAATAGAAACTCTAATTCTTTATTTCCGTTCTCATTGTTAATTATGCTTGAGAAAGTACGAAACAGAAGACCATATATAAGATACATGTTTGTACGAGCAAGGTGAGAGAAAGCATGATTAAAAGTCATACACAGTAAGAGAGACATAGTTTAGTGTCACTTGGCAAAGTAATTTAGCTTTATTCTTAATTGGTTACAATGTAAATTAATATCTATTATATACACACACGTGTCTTTAATGATATTAACAAATTTCTTCTCGAAACAATATCTTTCAACCTTTGTCTTTTATAAAAATAATACTTTGCTCGACTATGTCATAAATGAAAAAAAAAGATTGTTTAATTTCTTTTCTGCAAATCGTTATCGAAGAATCTAACAATGTTAAGAGAGATGATTTGCGTATTTTCAGCTTTTTTATTTATTACCATCAGTATAGCACTGACTATTCTGCTTTGTCAATATTTCAAAAGAAACAGTTCAAGAAAAACTCTAAATTTTTGTTACGTTGCAGTAGACTTGTTTTTTTTTATTTTTGGTTGAACGCAATGGAAAACCTTGAAAAGTATTTATTCAAGGCAACATTTTATTCAGATGCTAATTTACGAAAAATGACAGCGAGTCGCGACGTGGATGTTTCGAATATGTGTCCAACAATTATGTATTAAGCAATCGACGCAATTTTCCAGACGTTGCATGCATCGATTTCTAGACTTATTGTGTTTTACTTGTTGATTACGAGAGCATTGACGTGTCATTTGCAATTTACAGAGTGTACACGTCCTATTTATTGCTGGCTTACGTAAAGTGTAATTACTTTACGTTAAACTCTGTGTGAAATAATAATTTTCCTGTCTGTAGAGCAGCAATGGTGACACTGTTCTCGATGCCATAAGTGTTCAATGATATATGTATTACCAGCTAAACTACTTATTATACATGCATGTAATTTTGTTTTTTATCTGAAACGTGTTTCTACTAATAGTGTCAGTTTACTTTACCAGTAATTACAATTAAGACTGAATATTACGTGTACACCGTGTAAATGTAATTTTATCACACCATGCTAAATTTAATTCGTAAATTTCATTGTAACATCAATCGAGGAAAATAAGTTTACGTTAACCCTTTCACTGCTTTCGACGTCTATAGGCGCTTTGAAAATTTGCTCACACTGGGCCCTCGGCGTCTATAGGCGCTTCAAATATTTTCTCGCGCTGTGCCCTTGGCGCCTATAGGCGTTTCGAATATTTTCTCGCGCTATACTGTCCTCGGCGCTTTTTGCCACACTTTCACCTTAATTTAATCCTTAACCATTGTCCTCTGCGCGCTTTCACTTTAATTTAATAAAAGAAATTTAAAAACGGTAGATTTTTAATTTTAAAGGGCTATTTATCTTACACACTCTTACTTGTTCCACGGAATTATTTCACAACATTGTTTCTCTTACGGGAAAACGAAAATCTGAAAGAAATATTACAAAATTTGTTTGGAAATTAATTGAGTGAAAATAAATTTATACATTTCGTCAATTACTTTTTTTCAGATACATTTGCATTCATCGTTGAAGACCCTGGAGGAGTTCGTTGCTGTCGATCTTCTGCCGAGCGAAGTGGGTGGAAAGGCGGGATCGATATCGCAATTGCACGAAGAGCAAATGAAAGAAATCGACGATAAACGTGAATGGTTCATCGAGGAGGAGAAATTGTCGCGGGTGGATGAGTCATTGCGCATTGGCAAAAGTAAAACTGCCAACGACCTATTTGGTGTCGAGGGGACTTTCAAAAAGCTCGAAATAGATTGAGCAATTCTTTCTTTCATCCTATAAACAGCACGATTATTTCTTATTCGTTCACTTTTCTATAAGTAATTTTCTGGAGAATTTTATCAAATTCTTCTTTCCTTGTATTTCATAAAGATAGTAATAAACATTCACATTTCGATGCCAGTTTTATTTAAACGTGTAACAAGTAAGATACTATATTCCTCGTTTTATAGTAACTGAGATCAGTTATCAGTCATAGCTACTGTTGATCAGTACTTTATAATCACCATTGGATTTGTTCATTGGAAAAATGTTTCATACAGAATGGGCCACCTAATTCTCTTCTCTAGCTACGGTGGTACGAGAAGCTTTGTATACATCAATTTAAATGTTGAAGAAAAATTTTGTTCAATGAAGAAATGGCAAAAATTGAAAGGAAGTTTTACGTTTCATTTAAAATTTTACAATTCAAGATCATTTTAAGATGTTTAAATAAGTTTAACGTGTTTAAATGCACATCAATGTCTGCTACATCGTACAGTTGAAAAATACGTAAATATGGAAAATACGTCGTGCAAAGAAACATAGGTAAAAACAAGTTTTGAGACGATTTAAATTCCACATAAAAATTTCCTCATACACCACCATAGCTAGAGAAGATAATTAGACGGCCTTTTTTGCGTGGCCCACCCTGTATATTATTATCTTCTACGATCGTATCAATGTAGAGTGATCATACAAGTATGCCAACGTGTTTAATTAGGCACAATATTATATTATGTTTCAATTTCTCGATTAATTATACTGTAACGTACTGATTGCTGCTTTATATTAATCTTTTACGATCTCATAAAGCTACGCTATGATTTTTGCTAATAATTTATTATTTTCTACCTTTTCCAAAGGATCTTTTTTATACGTTTAATTTGAAACAAAAATCTTGTTACATTTGTTGTAAAACGTATTAAGAAAAGTTCTACTATTGATCACAGTAGAAAATCTGACATCACTAGGTTTAATTTCATTCCATTTCTGCTCGGTGGATCTACATAACTACATATTTGTCTATTTATAAGGAGAATTTATATGCGTTTTTCCATCTACTTTGTCGTCTATCCAAATAAGACGTTAAACAAGCTGCGGTTTTTACAATAAATTAATACAATTATTACGATATTGCATTTGTCATTTTTGACTTTATTCTAATTCGAGGAACGGTAGAATTTTGCAAAAATAATCGCAAACGGATGTTTCGTAAGAACGATGTTCATTATAAATACACATTTTCTACGAAACATTAAGTAAACTGAACTTTGAATCGTTAAATACGGAGCTTCAAAGGATCAAGAATTAATAGCTGTTAATTAAAGCTATTAAAAAAGCTATTAAATTAAAATTCGACGATAAATTGTAATAACTACCTGATAGACGAGTTACTATAAAACAAACACCAACGTACATTTAATTATTTCATTACTTGTCAAGTTGTTTATGAACCTCTCTCGGCAAAAACATTTCCCAAAACCTGAAATTTGCAAACGATTCACTTAGTAACACGTAACATGTAAAAACGTTGTCTGTTAAAATCCGAATCCGGTATGTACGAACTAATAATTTCACTTAATTATCGACGATACTTTACAAAGTCATGCGACATATTTTTCCACGTCATGGTACATACTGTTTCGTATCCAGCGTGCTGTACCCGCAAATTTCTGCTTATTCAGGATGAAAAGAAGAGAACTTGTTACCAGAAAAATTCTCGTTAGTCGTGCATTTTGCGTTCACTTGCATTAAAATTGAAAGAATCGTTTACGTTCAAGTTGTTCGTTAGAGTATCATAATGATAACAGTAAGTATTAATCACCGTTGTTTCTGTTCTACGGAAATTTATGCGTCTTTGTCATATGAAACACGAGTAATCCTATAGAAATCCTTTGAAAACAGACGAAAATAACACGTGGTATTAATAGTAATTGAATACGTAACGTGTAAAATATTGAAGTAAAGTGAAATCCATTTCATGAGCTATTCAACCGTTATCCATTAATTTAAGCAAAAAAAAATTCGATTTTTTCAAATCTCAGCGATGGTCTAACCCTTTAAAAGGTTAAGTTAGGTATCATAATACCCCAAAGGAGTAATATTCACTGTTGATGAGTGTTCACCAGTGAATGCTTTGAAAAATACACTGTATTTCCTATTGACAAAATTAGATGCACTTTTCAGCTATAGTTTTTCAAAAAAGAAAAAAGTCAAATCTGCTTAAACTTCCTTAATATAATTACAGGAAGAATATGCATGAAATTACCAGCACATTTCTGTTACGCACGTTTACACATTTTCACAATTTCATTATACGTTACATCGTGTAAATAGGGTTACCATACGTTCGGGTTTGACAGGGAAAGTCCCGGTCGATTTACAAATACGTCTCGGTTTTTTGACATCTTGATTTCTGAGGTGACTTAATTTTTAAAGAACCCTAAAATGTACGCAAATCTATGAACAAATTAAGAGTAACAAAACATTTCCTAAAAAAGTTTGGTCTACAGAAAAATATGACTTGAGACCCAAATAGATCCCTACTATACCTTTAATTACCATTTTATTTCTCATTCTTTTATTTATTTTTATTTTATTCTTCTTCTGTCCCTTTTTTTGTACCAAACCTCCGACTTGGCGATGGAAAAATATGGCAACGTTATATATAAATATATTTTTTTTGTCCACGGATTTTGTTCAATACTATTGCACAATTTTCATGTCACTTCAAAATATATAATTTGCCACTGGCGACCTCGGCTGTCACGCCATGTATGATTATACGATATTAACTCATTCCATTACGTTTTAACTGCTCGATTGTATATGAATCTCTATAGAAGTCAGTACTATTCAAGCAGCCGACACGATCTTCACGAAATAATTTCTCTCGGTATTGCAGTTCTTCGCATTTCTCATATACTGCACTTATATTTCATTTCCTCCATAACCGTGATAAAGTATAACGATATAGAAATTTGTAAAAATAAAAAGAGGGAATAAAATGTTACTGTAATTTTATATTAAGTTTAAAGCGCTAGGATTTGTGAAAGAATCATTTGGGATATGTTGCAAATAGACAAATCGACCTGTAGTCAGAAGTTTTCTTATTCGTACAACATAATTGAAAAACGACAACTTTTCTCGCATTTCACGCGATTGTACGTGCAAATTTTAGTAATTACAGTAAAATCTACCTCTTGCATTTCAAGTTGAACGAAGAATTTTTCTAACACGTATTTGTGGAAAATATAGAAGCCCAAATGTTATGTAGAACAAGTTAAAAAGAGTATCACAAAACGTTCGAAATTGAAGCTACAGCGAAATCTATCGGGTGTTGAATATTTAAAGATGACAGAATAAAAATGAAGTATTTTTCTTTTGTTTTGTTTAAGTGTGGAATTGTGAGTTTTGACAAAAAAGGGGAAGTCAACGATGCCGCCAGTTCAAGCGGTAAAATACGAGCAGGAGCTGAAGAAGAATCCAGATTTGAAAGATGAAGATATACAAATATTGCGCGAATGGTGCAAAAAACAACCTCACCTACCGCCAATAACCGACTCCGAGTTGGCGTTATTTTTGCACAGTAATTATTATAAAATGGAAGCGACGAAAGCGACCATTGATACATATTTCACTGTAAGGACTCACGTTACCGAATTCTTCCACAACAGAGATCCTCTTGGAACGAAGGAATTGAGGAAATCGTTTCAGACAATGTGAGCATACGAAGCAGAAACCATTTTTAGACTTTATATAACTTTAAAATAATCATAAATAGTCTCTATCGCGTGAAGTTAATAACCGCGGGAATAATTACGCGAAATGTGAATTATGAAAGGATAATCTGGTATATATGATAAAATTTTTCAAAGGAAACTACAAATGTTAATGTTAAATTTCAGTGCTACATACATGTATATCATTTTGTTTCTCCTTGCGTTTCATAGGTTGAATTTTTCTTTAATATTTGGCATTTATGTAACATATATATACTGTATATATGAAAAAAATAATAATGTTACAGAAAGAATGTATAAATATTAAAAAAAATTCAAATATGAAATGCAAGGAAAAACGAAATTATATGTATACGATATAAATATACCAGATTAATTTAACATTAACATTTCTAATTTTCTTTGAAAATTTTTTTATACCTATATATACGCTTTGTTACATTACCTTTCATATACAGTTGTATAAACTTTTTTCAACAAAGAGAATGTAAAAAATATTAGCGAAAAGAAATTCAAAATACAACGAAAAACAGAGTGATTTTGTTGGAAAAGTCATCGTAAAATTGCAACTGAAGCGGACTTTATATTTTCACAGTCGTTACGTACAATTCTCACGGTCTCAATTATCTTCAATCACGCATTATTCTGCCCATCAGTTGCACGAGCAAAGTTTACAACCTATTCTGTCCTGGACAATTTTATTATCGATAGAAAATCTCTATTAAATTTACACAAAGAAATAATTTACACTTAACCCAATGATGAATGGTCGTAACAATGATTCCAGTACCGTCCAGGTTTTAGAGAACAAAACGCCGGAAGGCTACTCGATCCTTTACGGAAGGTTAATTGACGATGATCCTTCGCATTACGTTTACAACGACGGAATGAAATATCTGAGCATGATAGTCGATCTATGGCTTCACAGCGAAGGCACCTCCAATGGACATATCATTTTATTCGACATGAAGAACGTAGGATTTGGCCATGCTGCTCGATTAAGTCCTATGGGATTGAAGAAGTATCTTTTTTATTTGCAAGAAGCGCTGCCGGTTCGTTTGAAGGGATTCCATTTCATGAACATCACGGCGGTGATGGACGTGATATTGAACATGATGAAACCGTTTATGAAGAAGGAACTACTTGACATGGTAATAGAAAGCAACGTTTTAACACACATTTTGATCACCGATCAATTTCGATTGATCACCGACGAGAAAAGAATAATGCACGAACAGATATTTTTCGTCGATAAAATTCAACGCTTTTGTAATTGAACATTTGCCCGCGTACTTGATGGTACTACTATAGTGAGATCGTAAATCACGACATTAACCCCTTGCCGTGTAATAACGAGTCAGTCTCGTGCCACAGATTTTGGTCAAGATCTGATAAAAACAGTTACATCAGTAAGAAAAATTAATTTTAATTCGAATTTTCGATTTAATTTGTAAAACTGAAGATTGGCAAATTTAATTAATCTATAATACATCAGCTTTTCTAAAACATATTGAAAAACAGAATTTTTTATTTCCCACGTTGCAATCTTTGCCGAAGCTGGCGACCAGCAATCGATGTTCTAATAGAAGAGATTTCACAATAATGCCTCCATTTTGTAACATTTTTACTTTTTAAAAATTGGAGGTTAAAGTTGCGAGTTACATTTATGTCCTCTGAAAACATTGAAATTTTTCGTTTAGTAGTTACCTATGAAATAAATTTCCAAGCTTTATCTGTTTTTAAGAAGTGAGTAAGTGTAATTATTCTGATTCTCCAATTTTCTAGTGTTTCTAATATCTCACGTTATTTTTAGTTTGAAGCTTAACTTAATTTCAGTATATGTATTATGAAACTCATATTAACGATTTGTTCTATGTAGCTTCACACACATACGACTTTGGATACGTTGAAGAAATTCTTCCCCGTAGACATATTACCGAACGAAGCCGGTGGAAAGGCCGGTGTATTGATGCACCTTCATGAGAAGGCGGTGAAAGAACTGGAAGAAAATCGCGAATGGTTCTTGGAGGAACAACAAACGAAGCGTGTTGACGAATCCTTGAGACCAGGTAAAGGGAAAACAGCAACTGATTTGTTTGGCGTTGAGGGGACATTCAAAAAGCTCGAAATTGATTGAACGATAAAAAATGTACGTTTTTTTAACATAAAAAGAATACGAAAATTAAACAATGACAACTATAACAATTAATTCATTGTAAAGATTGTTGGAACAATTTCTGAATAAATCTATACGAAAGCATTTATTTTGTTTCCTTTCTAATATTACTATTCGTTGATTATTTACTTCGTAATTTTACAAGTAAAACAATAAGAATATATTGCACTGTTGCAATTGACAATAGTTTCGTTGCATTTCTTATACTTTTGCAAATTGAAGGACACGAATAACGTAGTGAAAGGTGATGAAATAAAATTAATCGCTGTTTGCTTTTAACAGTGTTTCAAGAGTATATAGGTATGTATATATCAAAGTTTATATTAATTTATAACAAGTTCTTTTCTAATTGATAATTCAAAGGGAAGGTATTAGATGTTTTCTATATTCGAATACATTAAAATTTATTAAATCTTATTTATTAAACAATTACAGGTTTCTAAATTCTATCTCAAGTATTGATATCTATCTATAGTTTTTTGTTGGAAAACATTTCCATTTGAACACGTATTTTATATATTACTTTTTCACTTTCTACATGTTTTCGATTTAAACAATTATTCAAGCTACTCCACGAAGAATAATTATAAGGGTTATTGTTAATCTATAGCCGACTAAATAAAAGATTTATCGTATAGTTTGTAGGTTATAAATAAAAGATTTACTGTTAACCTATAGGCTATTAAATAAGGGATTTATCCTTAACTTATAGGTTAGGTTACGTTAGGATTTATTATACCAGATTATTTGATAAATATACATTGAAAATCTTCAAAAAGCTGTAAATCTGACAATATAGTGAAACATTTTCAAAAAGATATGTATGTAATATGTAAAAGAGTTTTTATTGATATTGGCCTTGATGCAGAGATGTTTTCACACATTACAACGAGCTAGAAAAACACCACTTTCCATTTTAATTGTGTTACTACGAAGGAATGCTTATTATGTTCGAAGAAGCGTCAATGTTAAAACAGGCTTAACACGTATTACCTCCACCTTTTCGTCAGTTTCTTATATTACTTTCACTGGCAGACTATTCTCTCAGTTTATACCAATACGTGTTAACGAAGGTGTCGACGTACCGCGGCGAAGATGAAGAATCTAATGGTAAGCGCATCAGTACCACGAGATCTACCATATCTGATTACATAATTTTCGAAAATTGTTCTCGAATCATGCTGCAAACACAAAATTCTATTTAAGGCCTGAAAACGGGAACAATTTTAATTAAACGGTCAATTATAATGCATCCGATACAAGTTGAATATGTATTTCATCTGTCAGATTTAAAGAAACAAAAGGTTTTACAATATAATAATGCACAAACAATTGTTATGTTACGTTTGTCAAAAAGAATGTTTGTTTTCGTCAAAATTACTATTGCATGATGCGATCAGAATATTTCGTAATTCGTTTGGAATTCTGACCGTTCACAGATCTCACCACCTGACACATAATATGATTACATTAGCATTTTTATTAATTTTTTTCATATTTTATATTTAAATGTTTTCTTCATCATCAACTATCGAAATAGGACAATTATTGCAATGGAATCTACTTATTTTTAATTTAAGAATTTATACAAGTAAATTATTTGGATATAAGTAATAACGAGCATAGTTATCGAGAAATTTCATCGATCATATTTTTGCGAGCACTGCATATAATCTGATGACCGATACTGATCGATTTATTAGCTTGGAGAAACCAGAAACGGAGACAGGCTTCCAAACAATGTTTGTATTTACTTACCTACTGTTGTGTGATATAGCGGATGTCTCAGTTTTTCCAGATCAATCTTTGTCAAAAACTGGAACACCCTGTGTAAAACCAGTGTGTTATATTATTAAATACGTCTAACAACGACAAAACCCACCGCAACAATATCGTATTAATAGATGTGTATAATAAAGAAGGAAAAATATGACGAAATATTCCTATGCATTCAGTCATTCAATTAAATATGTATATAGTGAAATGAATCAGTCAAGATAACTGATTAAAGAATGATCTTTTCGATTTAGATCACAATCGTTTTGATTCACTCCTGCTTGGGAGATGTATCACATCTTTTGCCAGAATATTCAACGACTACTACAACTCCACCACCACCCCCAAGACCTTACAATTTTAAATATCAGGCAGGACGACATCCTGGAAACGTTGATCGAGTTCATGAAGAAAGTGGGGATGGTTCTGGACACGTTCAAGGTATATGTATAACTATCGCATATTTCACATAAACAGTAATTGCAAGTAAGAAATATTATTCATGTTTTATCCAAGCTTTAGAAAGATGAAAATGTAGTAAAATATAACAATGGGCAATCTTTTAAAGATTAATTACAATTGACTACTATTTATAATTTGTCTATTTTGGATTATAAATGTTAGTTTATTAAAAGTTATACGTTAATAAATATTACAGCGAGTCGAATTATATCACTCCTTTCGTACGTTACACCTGAACAGAGCAACTGAAAAACGTTTTCCGCAGTATTACCAACACTTCTGAACTAATATCTCTAACAGTCTATTTAAAACTAAAAGCTAATTCCAAGCCTAAACAGGCTCACTTTTGTATTATAATATATTTAACATTTATTTTGTTTAATTAAAATTATTAAAATTGATTCCTTTATCACTTATCTTTTAGGGTCTTATTCTTTCGTCGATCCTAAGCAAAAACTACGAACAGTACAATACACAGCCGATGAAACTGGATTTCATGCATCCCTAATAAATTACGAGGACACGATTGCCCAACCTGTTGATTCTGAAGCGGTAAAACTCGCTAAGGAGAAACATATACGACTTTACCAAAAAATCGCCGAAGCAAATGCTCATGGCGTTCCGGTAAATCTCCCAAGGGTAATAAATATTTCTTTTATTATTTTCAATACTCTTTTTTTGGTATTATGATTCATATTTTTGTAAGCAGTAAAAAATATTATACAGTTCAAATTTTTATAAATTTTAAAACATGTAATGACGGATACAAAAAGATGGAACATCCATTAGTGTTATGTTACTTTTATGTGAAAAACGTTATCATCAAATTTAAGTATTTTTTGAAAAACATTTACGCAACGTAATTTACGCGAATGCATAAAAAAGAAACGTCGTGTATTTTAACGTTTTGCATAATCAGCTAAGATGAATCATCAAATATATGAAATCATAAATTACTTGAATACGTACTGTACACTAAAACATTTCAACCATTTTGTTAATTACTTAACATATATACACTTTGTATTTACGTTGAAACAACAGCAATTCAATTTTAATTTTGTGTAATAAGACAATAATACAACAATCAATATCAATATAATATACCATAATTTACGTATAATATATTATCGTACGACATTTATACTATAGTTAATTTACGAAAAGCTTATGAACTTTTCATATGTACTGTTTTTATAACATGTCGCTGCCACCGATGTAGCATATGCGATCCAGAATGTATTATCCAATGTACTATCGATTTTCTGTGAACGTGTTAAGGGGTGTTCAGACAATCAATTATTGACAAACTACACTTTCCTCATACGTTCAATATTTATTGACAATACATATAAAAATCCTGGAATATTGACAATGTATATTGATCGTCTGAACGCTCCTTTAACCTATAATTCATCAGTGATTCACCTATAGAAGCTTAACAATTTTTTAAACGTTTTTCATATTAACTTTGTGAACAAGTGCGCTCAAAAGAGACTCAATTTCATCGCTACAAATGATTCGAAACGGTAGCTTTCACCTGACGATAACGTGCTCGTCTTGCAGGATTCTGCGAGTGTGGGTAGAGCGAAGGACAGACACACTCAGCTTTACCAGAAAATCGCCGAGGAACATGCCGCGATTGCCGCTCAAAGAGAGGCCGAACGACTAACTTACGAGGCCACTTCTGTTGTTAACGATGTAAATCCAGATCACGTGTACTGACCTTACAATACACGTTCATAAGAATCACTTTAGAAACACGATGACGTCGAGTGTTATTTAAAACGGCCGTGTCAAATGCAACTTTCATAAGTTTTAATACTCAATAGAACATACAGGGTGATTTGTGAAAAGGATCTGATAATTTAGACATTTACAATGCTTACTAACATGAGCAGAGAATGTTTGTGACATGATTAATGTGACAAAGTATATCATTGCTGAAGTCAATTAATAATTAATAATTATTGCAGTCATTTGAAGTTAAATTTTTATTCTAATTTTTTTTTATAAAGAATATTTTATTGTTTATCTTTCATTTAAATGAAAATTCAAACGAATCTGAGTTTCTCAGATACACTGTACTCAGAAACAACTGATTGTATACAAACATTTACTTAGCGATCGAATCGACTTATTACAACGAATAAACCACAAGGTACATAAATTACGTATTCGAATAATTTTGCTATGTGAAATTTGAGCATTATTTAACTTACCGCTTGTTATTTAAAACGATATGTGCATTAAATAAATAAAATATATGTTTTTACCAACTAAATTGTCCACTTTAATACATTAGAAAACGATTAACTCATTAACACTATTATAAAAAAATATACGGCAATAATATCTCGCATATTATGGTGTACTCGAATATTAATGTTGAGCAGTTTGCAAGATATAAAATGTTAGAATGTTGAATAATCAAATAAAACAGGTTGACATATCATTATACTTGTTATAACATATGCATCAAATATTTTCCGTCACTATAAAATTACTTCGGGTTTTCATTAAAATATTTTTCAACTTATAGCGTCGATATTGTCAAATTTTTTTCTTACTAAAACATGTAACGTATGAAATAGATGGTAATCTTATGGGGTAATATGTATCCGGAGAATATTCCCGGAAAAATTTCCTAACCGATATGATTTGGCATTATATGATGAAAAATTACTTTTTTCTAATTTAAGAGTCGTAGATGTTCCACTGCTATTGCTTCTCTTAACTTTTCTAAGCACAGTACATGTCTGAATGAATGGTTTCATTTCTCGAAAGTAACTCGAAATACAAAACACATGGAAAAGTGTATAAACGCATCGTAGCATGAACTTATTAGACGACCTAATACAATTTTTCGTGCAACTTATCAAAATAACATGAACGTACTCACAAACCTTACTTCGATAATGTATCGATCTATCGTTAGTGCATCTACTATAGTTAATCTGTAGCTTATTTCAGAGAGTTCGGTATCATTTAATACAGATCCTTACGTACTACATACAATTGCGCTTTATATTTTGTTCAAGACGAAGCAATGTCGAGAAAACGTAAATTACCAAACGTAAAAGAAAGGTGTCGTATTTGTCTCATTGATAATGGATGTATGACTAATTTATTCGACGAACGTGTACAATCAAAAGTAAACGATTTAAGTAAATGCACTTCTATCAATGTATGTTTACACTACATTTTTAAACTTAAACATTTGATTGTATGCCTTATTTTATTGTATAACTATGCAATTTCTCTTTGTAGGTCAAGGACGAACATGGTTTGCCAACTATTATTTGTCATATATGCCTTTACAAGTTAGATATGTGGAATGAATTCAAAGAACAATTTATACGGTCAAACCAAATGTTGTTGAGTCAACTAGAACTTGCAGAAACATCTGAAAATGAGGTAAGAATATTGAGCTTACAGAAAGTAACTTTCTTTCAGAAAGTGGACTTAATAAAAGACTTTTATTGTGTGTAATTATATATAAATGATATTTTTTATTATTTGTGTATGAAAATATATATATGTACATTATATTCAATAATTTATACATTGCTATATTCTTTTGTATTAGAATTTGCAATCTAAAAAAGCATGCAATAATCTGGAGCAAAGTGGAGAAGATAGTCTTTCTGATACTTCTGAGAAGGTAATATTAATATTCTCAATTTAGTTTTCATTTTTAACAATATGACATATAAATGCTTTCATTTTAGAAAAAATTAAAGCCAGACATACCTCCATTAATACCTTTAGAGTTCACAAATACGGATAGAGTAACAGAACAAACAATGCTTAAGGACATGTATATATCTGAAGATGATGTCACATCATCAAAGGACTCTTCACAAAGAGCACATGATGCATCCAATGATGATAAATGTAAAAGTGATGAAAAGCAAGAGAATAAAGATAATGCTCAAGTGAAACCATCATTAGTTCCAGTGAAGGTTAAACCATTAACTGGAAGACGTAATAGAACAACTGAACGAAGGAAAGCATCAACTAAGAGGTGGGTTGCAAGAAAAAAAGCACTTTTAGCAGCAACAGGAGAAAGTGTCTCAGATACAGATTCTCTGGGATCAGATGATACTCAGTTGTCACCAGTGCAAAAAGCACGAGCAAAAACAAATATGGATAAAGAGGTTGACAAAGGAAAGAGATGGGCTATAACATTAGGAAAGTTTGAAACTGATATGGCAGATAAATATGCTATTAAACATGATAAAGACGACTTTATGAGTGTGGATACCGATTCTGATACACATAGAACAAGATCTCTTAAAGATATCAGTTCTGATACTTCATTATCAATAACTAAAAGTATTTCTGTGAAAGGATCTACTGAACAAAATGAAGTAAAGAAAAATACATTTTTTGAAGATACAAAAGAAAAAGAAAATTCTCCTGTTTCATTGCCAGAAAAAATTGTTAAAAAAAAATTACCAAATAAAGATAAAATAGAAATTATTGAAGACACATTTACTCCATGTTCAGTAAAGTCAGAATTAGAAATTGGAGATGCTACATATATTGTTACTTCTACATTAACGCTTGCGGAACCGCATTACCTGAATAAAGCAAATTTGAATACTTTATCAAAAGAGTTTAAAAATGGCAATAGTGAACAAAATTCTCAAGAAAAGAATACTGATATTATAGATGCTGTACAACTTCGTCGAATAAATCCAGTTCCAATAGATTCTACTGATAAAAAATGTATTGAAAGATGTTTGAATATAGAAGTAGAAGGGACAGAGATAGAAGCTTTAAAGCGTGTACAAGTTGAACTAGCGGGTTTTGTAGAGAAAGAAATGAAACATAGGTTATTTGGAACAACTAGTGACAATATTAATAACGATAAAACAGGCAACGGTTGTAAAAATTCATATCAAACTTTAGATCAACAGTTGAAAAGTATAATAGTAAAAACTATAAAGAAAAATTTTGAATCTTCTATGATGAGAAGTTGTGGTTCTGATTTTAACTCATGCAGTCAACAACCTGGAAGGGTTTCACCAGCATTGGTAAAAGAAGCAATAGGTTCTAAAAAGTATCAACCAAAAATTTTATTGAAACGTTTAGATATAGCAAAAGAAAGTAAACTTCGAAGTATTAATAACCTGCATGTTGTAGCTAAACGCACAGTTAAAAATAAACTTGGTGGACCATTTAGTATGGTTTCCCACAAAAGGCAAAGTGTGCCACCAATAAGGTATAATGACTACAATACTTCTGCTTTGGATTCTGACTCATATTTATCAGAAGAAACAGAAGTATCTGAAACGTCTAAGACAGAAAATCATAATGTACAGAAATCACAGGAAGGTAAAGGACAAATGAATGCAACAAATCAAGTAGAAGAATCTAAACACGCAGATTCTAATACGGTTGTTAAAATTGAAAATAAAATAGAAAGCCAAGAAAATGTTTTTAAAATAACTTCACCGCATGGAGAGAAGCATATGTGTGGTGTTTGTGAACAATCGTTTAACAGCCGTAACGATGCAGTAGCGCACGTTCGTATGCACAAAACAGAGACTACCACCATACTACGTCATAACAAACATAAAATGATGCGATGTAAGAGGTGTCATGAAATAGTGGAAGCTAGATTTGTAAAAGCCCACGTGTGTAAATCTACAAAGCAACAAATTCATAAATGTTATGTATGCAATTCCACATTTCGAACTGAAAAACTTTTGGTTCGTCATTTAGAAAGCCATGATCAATCTGAATTTAATATAGAAAGTATAACAAAAAGTGAATCTCAAAAGTTAACAAATGCAAATACATCGCAAAACATTAAAGAAACAGTATATTTAAAATCTGAAAAAAGTCAAATTTTAAAAGGAGAAAATAGTTTGGTTGTAAAATTGGATAATCCAAGGCTAGAAGTTGGCAATGTTCAGTTAGAAAAATCTGGGGCAACCAAAGGAGTCAAAGGAGACAATTCATTAGGTGTGGAGAAACCAAAGGAAACGTACACATGCTTTGTATGTGATAAAATATTTACAGATGAGGAAATATTAAAAGATCACTTGCAAAAGCATTGTGATGATATGAGTGAAGATGATCAAAGTCCTGGTAAAGAACAATATCAATGTGCTATTTGTGGTGATTCATTAGAGTCTGAAGATGCACTAGAGGCACATGTTGAAAAACATTTGTTTGACGAAGAAGACGATAATCCTAATCTTATTAATATTGCTAATGAGAATGATAAGTCAAAGGATGAACCTTATCACTGCCTGCAATGTTCCGAAACATTTAATTCAGAAATGTTATTGGAAATGCACATGCAAGCTCATGAAGAAGAGGCTGCAATAGCAGAATGGGAGAAACAAGGAATAAAAGCTTATGAATTTCAATGCATGATTTGTGATGAACTTTTTGAAACAGAAGAAGATTTATCAGAACACTTAGACATACACAATGGAAATGCGCATGTTTGTCAGTTATGCGATAAACCATTCCCTAGTCTTGAAGACTTGCAAAAACATGTTGCAACTCATTGATAAAATTACTATAAAGTACATTAATAAGGTATAATGTTTGTGTATAATTTTGGGCGTAATAATCGTTGAGTATATATTTTATAGGATGACCAAACAAAAATTTAATTTCAATATTGTTTTGTCATAATAGTCACTTTGTCCATAAATATAAATTTAAAAGATATCGTTAATATAGTAAATAAAACTATGTATAACAATATACGGATATATTAGGGTTTAAAAACAGTTTCTAAGTACATGTATGTACAAGTTACTTCCATTTCATAATTTAATGAACTTTATTGCACTTACTTGTTTTTTGAACGATGTTTAGTATTTTCAATATTGATGATCTGCATGTGCAGGTGCGACTTACAAACATTTGAAATTCATGCAAACGGTAAACAATACGAAGATTACATGTAAATTAAACGTAAAGATTTTAATTACAGTAATTGCGTTACCGTACCAGTTTTGTAGCAATTTATAAAAGATTCATTTGTATGTACATATGCTAATAATATTTCACATGTACGTATAAATGCATTGAACTTACATGTATATAGTAATACTTAATAAAGTACAGTTTAAATTTTAGTAAGTATTAATTGTTTATGCATAAATAAAGTGTAGTTTTATTTTCAACATACACGTAATATTTACCAGAATAAATTAGAAACAGGTCCGGTTAAATAAATACTTGTGTATAAATTATAATCTGTTTTGTTGACTGAAATTTAACATGTATATTAACGAGTATGCAAATATAATATGTTTTGATACGGTATAATGTTGTACATTAACTGTTCCTTTTAACAATTTTCACTCAAATAATGTACATTTAATTATTCTGGTCAGAGCGTGGTTAATATTATATTTATCCTCGCCATTAATATATACGAATTTATCACGCGACAATTCGTTGCTAACTTAATTAGCATTTACGAAATTTATTTTGACGCAATTAAGTTATACATAATAAATTTTATACACAAACTAGAATCTATTTAACAACATTATGGAATCGCGAACACTCTTTACAGAAAATAATTTGGAGGACTAATGATGTAAACAATTACAAAAATCAGTCGCTGGCTGAATTGTAAATGTTATTATATATTCTACTATATTTACATAAATACTGTGTATAGTGACACGTTATTTACTCGTGGAGAATAACTAGCATTTATCACTATATACCATGAAAATTTGACTTGGCTTGTAATAAGTCGATCCTTCCGAGTGCTTTACGAAATCAAAATATATAAATAACAACTGACTTCGTTAAAGCCGACTATAACTGCTTCTCCAATTCGTCTCGTCGTATGGAAAACTATAAATGCTTTCTTTTCGAACCATTTAAAATCTACAGTTCGTTTGGTTTCACAATTACTCCGCAGCGTTCTTCTCTATATTAACTTAAAGAGTGTGTCTCTATACTAAAGATATTCTGAAAGCATGTATTCGTGAAGGTACATTGATTGACGGTGAATATTTAACTTAACGTCAAGTAATTTATGCTACGAAAGAATATATTTGACTGCTTTTCAATATATTTTGCGCTTTCATTTTCACATTCTTTAGGTCGTGTTACGTCTAATAGAAAAGGAGTAATGATTATATGAAATACCTTCGGTACGTTTATACTTAATTTTATATAAAATTCTTTTGTTTAATTAAAAAAGGTATTACGATTTTAGTCTCATAAACGATAGTTCAACATTGTTTTAATATCAGAAATTATGTACAAAGAGTACGATAACTGATGGCTTAAATTTTTCACTATAATTTATCATAAAGCAAATATTTTCATATAATTATAATTTATAATCAGAATTTCATTCCTTATAAGTTAATAATTTTCTGTTCTGTTTTTTTTTTCAAATCAATATTAAAACATTATAATTATAAAAAAGAAAAAAACTGGACAATTCTGGGTCCCAAATTTATTTACTCAGTACATTTAATGTACGTATTTTCCAAGTGTTTCTCACTTCCTTTTTCCTTTTGTTTATGCCGATGTACTTCGAACATCATAAAATCTCAACTCCATTAAACAATTGCAACTTTACATACCGTTTGCGTTCTTAAATCTATTATATACAACGATACCATTCGGAAAGAATAGGTTTTAATAGTATCATTTGAATAACAATAAATTAAATATACCTCTTGTCGCGTTCGCCGAAATGTTCCATAGCAACAATGCTAAAATAATTATAGTGAGTCGAAAAAAAATGTATGATTGTACATTATTTGAAAAAAATCTAAACTTACAATATACTCGTGGTGTATGCGTTATCCATCGTATCGTTTTTAGCACTAATTTAGATCGATGGATATAGAAAACCCTAGCTACCTACGAAAAATCGTTACCCGTCAGAGTAAAAGTTCTGTTTCAAGTGCTAATCGCATCGATACTAATATCGATCTCAGAGAGAGAAAAAAAAAAAACGAAACAGGCGCACGCATTTTCATTTTCACGCTTATACACAATTTTGTTTATCGATCGTTGAATTTCAATCGTTTTATTTGTAACATCGAACCGTAAGATTTAATCGTACTATAGCTTTTCATGTGTTATTTCTTTCTTTTTTTTTTTAGCGATCATGATATATCACACAAAATGAACGATCTCTAATATAGAGTCTCACGTAAACTCTCTTATCTAAAGACATTTACAAATTTTTTCTTATTTTAAACGAACGCGCTATTTCATAGAGAAATAAAGAACAAAATAAAAATTTTGTTTTTTTTTTCCTTTTTCTTTTGCTTCCGTACGTGTTACGTGTTAAGTAACTAACAGTGTTCATGAAATTTGGCTTCACGTGGTAATTTACGGGGACACAAGCTCTACGTAGCTTGCGGGATAAAGACCCACTCTACCGTCTTTTCGTCCTTTACACCATCCTTGCTCGTCTTTGTCTGCTAATTTATCGAATATGTCGCCTGCGAAAGTGTAAGAATTTCGTGTGTTATATTATGTCACGAACGTAATTAATATGTATAATAAAATTCCGAAATACTTCATATATGGTAGAACATATTGATAATATAATGGAACGAAGAAGGGGGAAGGATAGTTTTATTCAAATGTTCTAGGTCTTGTTTCGTGGTAGAAGACACTTTTACAACGATATTAAGCTGATTACAAATGAATGCAACGTTGGTTTTTCGCATACCTTCTTTAAAGCTAAGCTCGTCTACGTCGACCCCTTCATAATCGTACAATGCGCGTACAAGAACACCAGGTTCTCCATTATCTACCAACGGTTCGCGGCTATACTCCTCCCACTCTTCCTCTTCGAATGGATTTGTTTCTTGTTTGGCATTCGTACCATTACTGGGGAAAAACATCGTTCACATTATGAACCTTTAAATTTGATTTAAAAAAAAACGTAAACGCCTTCTCATTCCACAATTTTTTTCCTTTTTTTTTTGTGGTAAGACCATTATGTCGTCGCTATAGTACTTCCTTGGATTTTCATTAAAATATTTTTCGCTTTTGGCACGAACGTACGGGATGGCCTGGTAAAACATTGAAACGAAGTGAAATGGTAATATTTAATTACAAAATAAAATTGAAACATAAAATATCGATATTGCTGAATTCGTGACACTAATTCTCTGTGAGCACTGAGTCGAATAATATCCTTTTTCGTCTAATGAAAATGAAACTTTAGGAGACCGTTGCGTACCTTATTATAAATCAACTTATCGCCAATACTATAAACTCTTATTTATATATTAGAATTACAGTAATTATAGATTTTTTTTTATTTATATCACAAACAACATTAGGTAAGAGATTTTAAATTTGAGAATGATGAATTAAATATGATAATAATTTTAAAATACCACGACGAAATAAAATATCCACGCTTTAGGAAATTTTTTTCTCGAAGATTCTTAAAAAGATCAAAGACATGCTCGAGGTGGTAAAGACTGATGCTTCAACGTGAAAAACAATAGAAAACTTACGTGATAGTAGCGGTCCTATTCAATGAATTGCCATCGTGATTATTTTTCTCTGAAGGATGTTTGCTGGAACTAATCGTTTCGGTTTTGTTATCCCCGTGGTTGCCGTCTGTCGATATTACCCGTGCAGTAGGCTTCGATTTTGATTTATTATTAACCGGTGGGTATTCCTATATCGACGGAAGATCACTACATTAAGTACATCGTCATCTAACAAGAGTTTCAAATGGTACATTTACATATTTACAATTTTGTACAGCATTTAAATGGTAATCATAAATATTTATATATCGTGATAAATCATGCGTGCAACCAAATTGTGCCTTGAATCGTTGAATCTTCATTTACATGTTTATTATGCTCAATATGAGAAGCACATATTTATTATATATTATATGTACAATTATTTGCAACATTTTAGATTTGTTATTTTGCAAGCTGAAGGTGAACCTTGCGTGTTATTTTACAAATCAAAATTTCGTTTGAACGTCGTTAGACGTGATATTTAAATAACAAATTATTTTTCGATACACAAAATGAGTTGAAGAAACGAAAATGAATTGCAGTTGTGTGTGTGTGGAATGAATCAATATTAAATGTATTATTCGTTCGTGTTTGCTATTATCAGTTTTTCAGAACTTGCTTCTCTTCACGGGTGCTCGGTTGTTGCTATATATCATGCGATAACAAACGTGACAATATATATATTCGTTAATACAATGAACGTGGACGTAATTTGCGCTTATGGACGTGACAGTTTTACCATGTGGCGAATTTACTGTGCGGATGATTTCTGGTTGCAAGCATGTTTGATTTACGCTCAGCTTTGACTCTGTTTGTAACTATAAACAATTACGTATCAAAGGATAATGATACACGATGCTAGTAGTCATGTTTGCGAGCGTATGGCGAATGTGGAGCGAATTTGAGATCTAAATTCGAGATTTCGGAATTTCAATATTAATTTCAAATCGCGTGTGATAAATGCACAGCGAATTTGAGATCTAAATTCGAGATTTTAAAATTTCAAATTAATTTCAATATTAATTTCAAATGGCGTATGGTAAATGTAGAGCTAATTTGAGATCTAAATTCGAGATTTCAAAATTTCAATATTAATTTCAAATGGCGTACGGCAAATATGGAGCGAATTTAGGATCTAAATTTGAGATTTCAAAATTTCAAATTAATTTCAAATTAATTTCAAATGGCGTATGGCAAATGTGGAGCGAATTTAGGATCTAAATTTGGGACTTAAAATTTCAAAAGAATTTCAATTAGACCAATTTCTTCTACTTATCGCTGTTGTTACAAATGACGTTATTTTATAAAAAAATTACACAGTGCAGAGAATATCGTTATGCGGTGATAAACGTTTCAAGCGAGTATTTTAGAAATTTTTCCACAATGTTTTACATAATGCATTTTTCACATTCTTCTACGCTTCCATATAAGCAACCAGTTTGTTGGTCTTACTCATTCGCGTTCGCCTGCATAATCGACACACGTTCAATTCGCGTCATCGGCATGTATTATAAATAGATAAAGAGATTTCAAACGGCCTTCGATGATATTACACTCCTAGGTCTTTACAGGCATTCAAATGTCCACATTAAACACCGCGAAGTACGAAAAGTTTCAACATAAAGAGCACCGTTGTAGCTCGAACAGTCGAAAACATTACTATTTGTCAAATTTCTCGAATGAAGCGAAAAAAAAAGTCACACGAAATTACACACCCAGTCACTTCCTCGTTTCCAATTAAATTCATCACCGGCAAACATTTGTCAAGCCTCTGATGGCTTCTACTCGAAAAATCACTATTCTTCGTGAATTCCTTCTTCTCGAACGAAGCGAAAGAAAAAAACTCGTCCTATTTATCAACATCTCTAACTGGAACCTTTCATCAAACGTTCTAATCACTTCTCCCCGCTTCTAATCAAAATTCATCACCGGTACAATTCGAAACTCTCCGCACCGATCTAAGATTTGTCAAGCCCTAATGCTTTCCAGCGAGTCACGTACTACCAAAGAGAGAACAAGAATGCAACCAACGAACAACTGGCGGACAGTTTTTCCTGGGAAACAATCCAGCGAAACCAGCTCGATCTCGTCGCAAATTCGCTCCAGCATCGAACGGTGAAGAGACATGCTCGGCGTGTGTTTGTCCCCGCGATATAGATCTGCGATTACGTGCAAGAACAAGCGCATAGCGGGTTACGGTTAATTCAGTTAAGTTAGGCGATGCCAGAAGCTGAAAAAGGAAATCCATCCTCGATGACCTCGTCGTGTTTGCCCGTTACAACACAATTTCGTCGCTCTGCGACGATAAAAAAGGCTTGATTTTCTGTTTCTTTTTTCTCTGCGTGCATACGCGTGTTTCTGCGTGCGTGTGTGTGTGTGTGTGTGTGTGTGTGTTGCATGGATAAACGTGTTGTTCGTTTACCATGTAAGCGGGAACAGATAGGCGGTATTTTGTTGGTGTAAAACATAACAAAACTTTACATGCACATCCTCGCCGACCGGGCGCTGATTGATGAGCGTGATGGAGCCAGCCGGAAGTGCCTCCTTCGACTTCGACCCTTTGGTGATGTCACGGAACTCCTCTGTGTAGTCCTGCATAATAGCAACGCCCAAAAAAAAAAAGAAAAAAACAATCACATGCATGCATTCCAAGGGAAAACATTGTTCGATCGGACACAGGGGAGTGTAACTATTTCTGTTTGATTTTGCGTTTTCTTTATTTTTTTTTTTTTTTTTTTTTTTGATGTCCCGAAAGGAGGACATCGATGAAATATGGTCTGCCTGCTAAAGAAATAATTGTAACGCCTAGAAATTGGGGTTGCACCAATCTGGAAATCACATGTTTTTCGGGCTACTTTGAGGAAAACGTGACATTTTTAAGCTAAATTTTTATCATTTTTCCCTTTCACATATCCCAAACGATACATGTGAATTTCAGATTTGTGCGATTTCGTTTCTCAGGTGTTATCATTTCTTTTTTGCAGAGCAGTGTATTTCTGAGGTGTACACTCAACGAGAAACAGGTCGTTGTTGCATAGATCGTTCTGCCAACGAGTGTAACCCTTGAAGACGCGTTTTGACCGGCGCACAGTGCAGTATTTTACTTAAAAGCTGGTTAATATTCAAATTTTTGCGCTTAATTGAAAAACGAAAAAGTATTTTTCTTTTTTCTGATAATGCTATTAAAATGAAGTATCGTAACGGCCATTTTCGTACAACGTCAGAATTCAGGCAGAAGAAGGCCATATAAAAAGGATTTTCGATTATTCCTTTTTCTTACTCTGTTGGTATCAAAATGTAATCGTAATTTTTTTAATTTTCTGCGAGTGGCATTATGTAAAAATTATTGTAAAATTACTGGTAAATCCTTTTTACCTTGTTCTCCTTGCGTAATTCTCAAATTGAGAGTTTCAATATGAAAATTTCGCGATAAAATAAATCGCGAAGGTACATAAATCGGTTTATTTTTGAAGTTTTTATTCTCTGTGAGTTTTCGTGTAAAACTGATCATTTCTAAGTGCATTTGGCCGCGCGGCAAATTGGTCGAATAATTTTGACCAAATTTTTCATAAAAATTCTGCACTGTGCGGTGTACAGTGTGTAATGATAATTAAAAGAATCGCTGACGTGATTCTGTGCCTTGCAATTCATTGATGATTAGTATAAGCTATCAGGAATATGTGTATCGTTGATTAAAAGGCTTGGAATCGTTTGATAAGTTATCGACGGTCCTTAATGGTTCTTTTTTATTAGGTGAAAAAATATATTTCTCGTTTAATTTCTCGAGCAAAGTAAGAAGTGAAAAAAGATGAAGATGTGAAACAATTCAATGTTGCAGCTGGCTCTCCGTTATTACAGCGCAACTGATTTCAGTTTAGTTTACCATTCTCTTTGAATTTTCCTTTCTCCTGGCGCAGAACGTGTTAAGAACTTTATCACTGAACGAGGAAGAGAAATTTGGGGACCGAAATGGAAAATTATTGGTTTAGGGGAATTTCTGAACTGATGCAATGAAAATTCTAGTAACAAAAAAATACTATTTGCAATAAGATACTCTTTTACAGCTATTATTGGATACGTCTTTATGTTCTTTTTTTTTTTTTTTGGTTTCACATTTTCTGAGATAATTTCGTTACATTGGTTACAGGTTGATAAGCAATTTCAATTTAGGGATTAGACAAAAATTTTAAGTTGCGAAGAAATTTGTAAATCGCAGAATTATAAGAATTTGCGAAAATTTGGCAAGCGAGTAAAAATATCGCAAATAACAATTACTGAAAACATTTACAGGGTTAAAGACGTTGGTTAAGAAGGTATATTCGATCGTTTCTTCTGTTATGAAAAATATAATATAAATTAATAATGTTAATTTAGAAAAATGTATCCAGTAATTAAGCAAAAATCTTAACACGTTAAGCGCCAAGGCTGTTTTGTCTTCCTTTCCGTTTATGCTGGCGGCCGAGGATCTGTGTAAGGTTGCGATAAGACTGCATGTGTTTTAATAATACTCGTTAAAATTGTTTTTTGGTAACAAGTAATATTTAGGTACATTCTTTTATGATCTCCAAATTATTTAAAATTTATTAATAGACGCGGCTCGAACGAAAAGTATACTATTAGTTACCGGTGACTGACGCGGTCCGAACGGAAAGTATAGTGTCAGTCACCGGCGACTGACACGGCGCTTAACGTGTTAAGTATCGCTTCGGATTTTTATAAGGAGCTACGCAAACTTTTAGCAGAGTCGTTTTATACGAAAAATGGCAGAGTATTCAGACAGATGGAATATAACTAACGGTCAATATCAATGCAGTTATAAATATAAAAAAAAAGAAGGAAAGAACAAGAATAATGTTCAATTCACTCTATGGCTATGTTTTCTAACATCGGATCTCCAATCATGAGCAAGGGTTTGCATGCGATAAAAAGAACGATTGCAAGACGCATACATATAATCTTCGTTATCTTACCTCGAACTGCGGCCAATTCATCGCCATATTTACACCGTGATTATTCGACCACCATTTCAGATCCTTTTCGTGATCCGCGTTATTAATCGTATGGTAGAACTCCTCGTATATTTGTGGAAGTCTACAAACAGAGGCAAATATAAATGTAAAATTATTCTTTGGGCTATAATTCTACGGAGTTCTATTATTCTATGGCACGTACTAAAGATTATTGCAAGCAAATAGACATATTTTTATAAAATTAACCAACTATTTTTCCTGCTGCAAAAAAAATTCTACGTTCAGTCAAGAAACTCATATTTCATTGAATTACCATTTCGTTAATTTTCAATATTTTGCAAAATCCTTCGCTTAAAATACACCCAGTTTTCAATTAATCGGTCTCGTTGTTAAAGAAAGTGATAGAAAAGATCTTGAAGAGTGCTATGACGGTACGAGAAAATTTTTATACGTAATTTAAACGGCGAAGAAAAATTTTTGTGATGGAAAAAATGGAAGGAAGTTTTCCGTTTGATTTAAAATTTTAGAGTCATACTATTATGCACGTTTAAATATGTAAATTAAACATTCGTATAAAAAAGCAGGTGATTTTGAAAAGAAACAGAAAGAATGGCGTTTATAAAAAAAAGTTTTCTTCCAATCTTATTCACCCTTTGAAACCATTTAAATCACCTATTAAAATGTTCTCCTATCACCATAACTAGAGAAGATATTTAAGCGATCCAGTATACCGATTATTGATAACATCTCTGATAACAAACTGAACAATAAGTAGTTCTCGTGAAACTGAAAGAACAGAAAAATTCGTCTCTCATCTAATTCACCCTTTGAAACCATTTAACCATTGCCAATAAAAATTTTCTCCTACCACCGTAGCTATACACAGAGAAGATAATTAGGCGGTCTGTTTCACGTGGGCCACCCTGTATATATCAGTTAACAGCGAGGCGAACGAACTCGTTGTACCATCGTCCTAATAATATGTACGAAAGAAAGGATATAATTACATCGGATCCTGAGATATATTGAGGCATTTGTGAATGCCAAAGAGAACTTCCTTGAAGAATTGAAGCCGCTGCGCCTCCATCTCTTGACACTTCTCGAACACCTGAGTCATGTCCTCCATATATTTCGGGTTGTACTGATTAATTTCTTGCAACGCCGCCTCGTATTTCTCTTTCGCCTTTTGTACCTCTTCTTTCGTCTTCTGCACCCTGTCCTGCATCTTCTTCACCTGTCGATTAAATAGAGGTACCGTCCTATGAGCATTCGCCGTGCAATTTCAACGCACTCTCACACCGGCTACGTTGAAGGTAAAGATCTTGGTGCAAACCAGACACGTAAGATTGATAAAATGAGTAGAGAGAAACGAAACAGCGACGAGTATTCGTAATTTGCGTATCGAAACGAATTCCATACCGGTGTATCGTACGCGTTACAATATTTACGTAGGTTTACCCGTTTCAGTATTTGCGTATCGAAACGTGTTCTGAATTAATTGCATCGTTTACGAGGAGAATTCCAATTCTTTACCCTCAAGCTTTACCTAGCGTATAATTGTGACGGCGAAAGAATTCCTTTTGAAAAAGTAAGCGTGATCTCTATGTGCGTAACGATTAGACAACTGGTGCTAAGATCTACGTGTGTACGACATTTAACCCTTTCGCTGTTTAGTCCGTACCGTTAGGATAGTGACACCGATAGAATTAGTCATTATCCTGACGCATCAGGAGGGTCCTTTGACCGTTCAAAGCTCGAACGGCTTACTCATAAAGGTGCAACTTCAGGAAAAGCGAAGGGATAAAGGACAGCGTCCCCACACATTTTAAGCAATACAGTAAATTCTCCACAAGTGTCAGTCCGCAAGGAACCTAAACCTGACACTTGTAGAATCAGGGACTACGTTTTCGAGCCTCGCGTCCGCCTTTGTAGTTTGCCGAACGTAGACAAGGACAGCGAATAAAGATAAGGATGAAACGTGAGTCGAGGCAACCAAGCGATTTAAATACCAACTTTTTTAATTTTACGTTTTTTTTATCCCGAAATTTTTCTTAACATATTGATGAGATTTTTCTGATGAAAATGGCATCAAACACGACATAATTTGAACAACATTTACTTATTAACGCGTTCACTGTCACGCCAGACATTACTCGGACTAATTATTAGAATATCTTTAGGAATAACAGTGAAACACAGGTCAAATATGTTTCTATTTTCGTATTTTTATCATAAATAGAAGCAATACTAATTATAAAAAAAGTCGAACATTTTTTGACCGCTTTTTGTTATTTTAGTGAACAGAGAAAGGGTTAAATATATAAAATCATTCCTTTGTTGTTAACGCGGTACGTTGTGTATTTTTGTCAGCTGTATTGTGCGTGATAAGTAAGATTTGAAAATAGAATCGTGCAAATATCGTAGTACGCGTAAGTAGTATAGTAGAATTATAAGAGACCCTTTGAAAAGATTTTTTTCAAGGAGGAAAAACGTTGATTAGAGAAACGTGATTTAGATTGACGATGGTTTCGTTGAAATTTGCATAAAGTAATCGGACGTTATTAATTGTAAGCGCGAAATATGGAATTTAAATTTCGATTTTCTTACCGTTCAACCTACACTTTCGTTTGATCCCACGGTTAATATGCAATGTGTATTATAATTAGGGCTCCTACTGCTCTACGGATATCCCAATTTTAACCCTTTGCGCTCCGAATAGTCCAATTATTCTGCGCTCATTTGGCCACTGTCGGGCAGTACCGTGTAGTTCGCCTTTATTTCAATACTTCAGCGTAATGTTAGTTATAAAATACTAAGTTTCAGTATAATATTAATGCATAAAAAAAAGGTTCATTATCGTTTATAATTTAGAATTTATCGAGTCTGACTCGACATGGGACCGCAAAGGGTTAAGTATTCGAGTACTCAGACAGCTGTGCAACTGAAATCTTTTTTTCTTTTTTGCAATCTTTATTCATATCTGGTATTCGACACGGTCAATTTAATTGTTCTGCATTTTATCAATACCATTCGTTCCGATATTTTCATAATTGGTGAAAAAAGGAAAAGTAGAATTTGTGTGAAATGTGTGACTGTATGGAACCACGCAGAATGCCCTTGAATTTTCGCTCCTTTTCAACAAAGTTGCTATTATTTAAGCCTTAATAAAGTTACAACACTATTCGCTGGAACGCTATCTCGTCTCATGCACAGTAATGACTAGCGATATTGTTATTTCTCTTACCTCATAGCACTCCTCGAGGGCATTCTTCGTGGTTCTTTACAGTACGCGTATGTAGATAATATAATATGTGTACGTGTTCGTGTTGTGTAACATTTGCATGTACAACTGTGTAAGTGAAAGAAATCGTTAAATCTACGTAAGCAAGGTAAAAAGTATTTAGGAGCGAACGTTCCTATTTAGGAAGCAATATTTTGCATTACATAAAACAGTGAATATCAACGATCCTTATAATTAGCTTTTAGGAGAAGAAAAAAAAAAGAACAAAATGGTGTAGTAAATTAACCTGTAGTTTCTTGAAATTACAAATCTATCTACGGTTAAAGAAATTAACTAGCCAAGCGATTAAGGCGATACTAGTTCATAAGAATTCAGAATTTATGCACAAAGAGAGAGAGAGAGAGAGAAAGAGGAAATTCTGTACTGAAACATATCAAGATACTGCAATTTACTTATAAGCAGAGATAACGAGCAATCATCGAGCGGTATAAAGTCAGTTTCAGGATTCGATATGGAAGAACTGATTGCATCGCAATCCATTTAACCCTTTCGCTGCGGCAGATTTTAGCACGTGACGCATATGTGGCTGACGGTAGATGTTCAATTGCGGGCCGCAAGACAAATTTATTTTAAAATTTCAAAGAAATTTTCAATTAAAATTTTGTCAATATATCGTTTCAGAAAATTAAGGTAGGACTAAGTACGTGAAGAAGAAGAATCAAGGCTTAGATTTACCCCTTAACCTATGACAACGCGTCAGACTCGTGGTAGAGATTCTGGTGAAGATGTGAGAAAAATAGTTATATCGGTAAGAAAAATTCGTTGCAACCCTAACTTTCGTTGGAATTTATAAGACTAAGGATTGCTAAATATAATTAACCTGTGACAGATTAGTTTTTGTTACCTGATACAGTACTGAAACAGTAAATGGCTGACGCTTGGATGCGTAGTCAGAAAAGAAATCATAGGTTAAGGGGTTATGGTGAAAGTGAGCCAAAAAGCACCGACAGTCCAGCGCGAGAAAATATTCAAAGCGCCTATAGGCGTCAAGGTCGCAGTGCGAGAATATTCTCGATGCGCCTATACGCGCCTAACAGCAGTGAAAGGGTTCGAGGTATAATTTTCAATTTTCTCGTTGAACAAGTGTTACAGAGTTTCTGTACGAAAGCTTTTCAACAATGTGTCGATTTTTCAGTCGTTATCTACAGTCGATAACTAATGTACAAGCATGTAAGTATCGATTAACAACTAATCAAAGATGCTCGATTATTAAACGTTGGAATTTAGTGAAAGTTGTTCTAAATAACGCGGGAAAACTTCGATTTTGAATTATCGTTTCCGCTTTTAACGATTTTCATCAAATCAAGATCAATTTTACCGAATCGCTCGAGAAATAAGGATAATTGGAGTATTCCGTTGAAAAGCTCGATGCTTGCGTGACAAAGTTATCCACGTAGGAAAGTATAAGCATGAGACAACAGAGAGTTTGCTTACCAGCAGTGCTTTCTGTAATGAAAAAAACGAGAGAACGTTAATCGATATGCATGCCGCATGCAGTATTATTATACATACAAGCTGAACGTCTCCTATTTTAGATTTCCTAAAGGCTTTGCGTATTCTGAGGCCCCATGCATCACATCCACAAACTGTCATCTAAAAACGTCGTTAGCCTTCTTTCAGAAGATCGCCTCTCCGTACGGCGATTAATCGTCTTTCGAACACCGAGACGTGCAACAATAATTTTCTCGTAACGTTTATGTCTACTATAACAATATTTCAAAACAGGTTTCGAAATCTTAAAAGTAATGCAATCAAACGTGTAAAAATTTATTTTATACATTAACAGATTGTTATCGTTCCTTTTTTAATAAATATATATATGTGTAAATATACATATACATATGTCACTGGAGAGAAGTTTTTTTTTCTTTTTTTTTTTGAAAGAAGTAACGTTCGAATTAAAATATTTTAGTAATTTTCACGTGGTTTGGAGTAATTTCTCTTCTGTTCCTTTTCTCGTAAGAAAATTCCTCGACACTGATGTTTGCAATTATTTAACGGACAAAATAAAGAACTATTCGTGCAAGACATTCACGAATATCTGGAAGCGTTTCGTGACAGTAGTAGAGATATCGATAATACGACGAAGACACAAGACAATAAGACATGCAGATTTTTCGATAAAGATAACACGAGATAATTTTAACATACGTTTTCAGAGCCTCGGGCCATCTGAAAATAATACTTGCTAAAGAACAACAGTATCTACATTACGTTGAGCCGCGAATGCGTGATTTAGATGCACATTAATTATATTAGTAACACACGCACATGTGTACACACAGTGTTATCGTGTGTGCTTTTTATTAAGAGTATATTGTTCGCTCCGAAAATAATTTCATTTCTTTTTTCATTCACGAATTTCTGACAAATCTGCGAATCGTTTTACACAGAACGAGTATTCAAAGTGAATCAGCCTTGAAATTTTTATTTCTCTCAAAGGGTACACTGCTGAAAATAGTTAGAAAATTACATTTCAACGAAAAGTAGTTATCAGTTGCAATCGATAAAGTGAAAAAATTCGTTTTCCGTTTGAAACTGTACGATGCCCGACTCGCGACACGAAACTGCTTAAGCGCGAACGCGAATTGGTATCGTTGCGCTCCCGACAAATTAATCCCGGAAGGGCAAAATTCTAATCGGCGAAACTGCTTAAGCGTGAACGCGAATTGGTATTGTTGTGCTCCCGACAAATTAATCCCGGAAGGGCAAAATTCTAATCGTTGGTGTGGCGATGGTGAAATGACGTTGCTCTTGGTCAGAATGTTTTTGAACTCATCTATTTTGTGGTAGTGCGTTTGAATATATTAGCTCGGTGTATATCGCGATTGGTTGGAAGTCGAAGGTGGTGGAAAGAAGGAATCGAAGAATGCGGATATGTGATTGGATATTAGGAAACTAGTGGAAGGAGAACGTGAGAGTGAAGGTGGTTTGCAAAAGTTGAAATAATTTGGGGAAAACCCGCAAAAGGGGAAAGGGATAGGAAACATGACCAGGATGCGACTTGAACTGTTTTATGGTAGGGAAGGAATTTGTTTGGGGCTAGGAAGACGGCTGGAAAGGACTGTTTATTAGTTTATGATGTGTTACTGGCCGGTGGGCTTCGCGACCGGACAGAAACGTTGTTCTGACACTGTTCGTAAATTAGGAAGAACACAACGACGAGAAGAATTATTTAGTCTTTTGTAAAGTTCTGTTTATTAGACTAATTTAATAATTGTCGAAGTTCAACTTTAAAGTTGCGCCTTAATATTACTATAATACTATTTTGCATGCATAGAATTGTACACGTGAAATCTGCAAAACCGAAGTTTTTCAAATTTTATATCACGAGTAATGTACTTTATCACAGCAAATAGTAAAACGTTTGTTTTGAGATCTAAGAACAGCCGATATCTCTATTAGCTCGACTTCTATTTTATCTTGTCTCTGTTATCCAGTGCACCCGCGATATCCAGGCATATCGAAGACAGCGTGAGAAACTTTAATCGAGAAAACACTCTTTGCCCCGGTTTTAAGATGCAGACTATTCAGACTATGTGTATTATAACAACTTTCTGCTTACGTACAAAAATAATTCCGAGGCGTAAAATAATATCGTAAATTTTCCGATAATTTGTATGAAAAAACTTGTGGAGATAAGAAATGTAGCTTTCTTGTCTTTTGACCTTAAAATCTCATTGAAATAAAATGTATTTTAGTAAAAAAAGAATTAAATACGAAAAGTTTCATGATTTTTAGCTTCTTCTAAGTCTGAAATATCGGAAAGATTTCAATTAACCTAGCATTTAATCTTTTATTACGCTGTATTACCTAAATATTCCATTATCGAAGCTTTATTTCGTTTGTTTGTCATTGCGTTATTGCGTACTATCGTTGGCACCGAGTAATTTATATTTGCAACGATTATCGTGTCCTACTTCTCGTGGCAGAATAAGAAATTTCTGATTAACTTTAACTGTTTCTTTCATAAACAGATAACAGTCCAGCTGTAAAGAGCTAATAACCAATTAGGTTGGTGCAAATGAAATGTCGTTTCATCGGCTCGATACCGTACATTAAAATTTGTCCCAGCGTAAATTTTTGTAAACAGTAGTCAAGAAGAAGGAATTTGCTGTAGTGCACGTGTATTGAATAGCAGACTATTATCTGACGTGATGAATAATCGGGACATTCTCGCAATTTTTTCCTGTAAGTTTAAATTCGGAAAAACTGCGATAAAAATTGGTGAAAATATAAATTTAGCATTTGAAGAAGCTTGTGTAAATGTTAAGACACTTCAACGATGGTGTGCCAAATTCAAGATCGGTGACGTTTTATTGGAAAATGAGCCGAGGGGAGGTCAAATTTAAGAAAAATTATTGAAAACAATCCACAGTGAATAATGTGACATTTTCCCCATCAGACTACTATTTCTTTAAACACCTGAACAATTTTTTAACAAATAAATCATTCCGAAACGAAGAAACTCTAAAAGCAGCGTTCAAGGATTATTCGAATTGAAAACTAATTTTCATAAATTTGGAATAATGAAACTAGTTAATCGTTGGGAAATTATGAAATGCGTTATTTCTCGAAGAAACACAATGTATCTAAAGTTCTACCTAACCTAACCTAAAATTTCAATTTTGTCCAAATCTCTAATTAACGAATATACACTACCGGCCAAAAGTTTGGAATCACCTCCCACTTTTCATCAATATCAAATCTGCTGCTAATTTTTTATAGATCTGAAGTTTATCTCAATTCTGCATTTATCAATTTATCTCATATCGATTGATTCGAACGATAAAAAATTCTCAAAGTCGCTGACTTTCTTCTGGAAAATTTTTGTGTCAATTGCAATGCTCGGTGATTCCAAACTTTTGACCGGTAGTGTAAATATGGACGCGACACGTTTAGTAATCTTCTCTCTTTTCAGCAGTGTAAGTATAGAGGAGTCTTGAACCACGCGTTGAAATCACTCGATTCGAGGCGGTTGCCTGGAAAGAGTTTGTGCCTTTCGAAAGCGAGCACGACGACAATCGCTGTGATTCGAAATAGTTAACGTAATAATTGCGCTAATCGTCGATAACGTATGAGCAAGAATGACGTAACTGTTCATTACTGTAATCGGCATAGACTATCGTTTTACCTGGTCAGGGGAAAGCGAACTGTCGGCCGATGCGTTCCTCTCCATATTCGCCGCGGTCCGCTCGGTTTTACAGCTGTTGTGATACTCTGACTTCGCTTTTTCCACTTTCTGCAAAAGCTTCGCCCATGGCTTCTGTGCCTTCTTGAACGCGTCCTCCTGTTCTTTGCGCTCCTTCAGAGTCATCATCGACTGTAACCGAACCGTATCCAAGAGTGCAGCAACGCATTAGCGACAATTATCAAAATCTACGTGGAAAACGAAGTGCTTGTAATTAGGGAGACGAGTTTTCAAATATGAAAATTGTCGATTTTGAAATAATTCTCGAAACAATGTTTCACGTGTGCTTTTTCTTTACGCGATACCATCCGCGTCGGAGAGGTTGAAACCCGCTTAATTTTGACAAATTTATCTTTCCCAATACCCTGACAACTATTTTCTCGTACGAATGTTACTCTGTTTTATGAAAATTAATTTGAAAGCAATACAAGTTATAAAATCATTGTAATTCTGGATTACTAAGCGTTAGAAGGTTCGTGATTAATTATTTCAGTTCCAACTGTAGCGAGAATTAATAAATAATCGAATTCTAAAAAAGAAAACGAACGCGATCGACCATTTCAATTTTAACGGTAAGAAAAATTTCTATGCAAAAAGCAAAGGTGGCACAGCTAAAATAATAAATAATCGAATTGTAAAAAAGAAAATCCGTGATTAAGTGTTTCAACTGTAACAAGAATTTCTGTGCAAAACGGTGGGGATAACACAGCTGTAATAATAAATAATCGAATTTGAAAGAAAGGAACACCGACTTTCATCTCGAGATGGTGAAGAAGATCCATTAAAACACATGCACGTACCTTATGATAGGTATCTTTCTGCCACGTTTTCACCTGCTGAATGATGTCGTTACAGAGATTCTCTTTGACCCTGAGGTGAAGATCACACAGCCTGTCCGATTCGACGAGAACGCCTTTCCACGCAGCCTCGGTGGTCCCATATTCCGGTCCTTTCTCAATCTTGTCGTTCCAATTCTTCGACCAATTTTTCAACGCTTTCGCGTAACTCTTCTCGATCTCCGCCCTTTCTTGGACTAGAGCTATTAAGCTGTCGCAGAGCTTGTGCCCGTCCTCGATCCTCTTGGTTGTCCGTTTGTAGTTACCCGGCTCCCAGAAGGAGTCCGAGGTTGCTATCAGCATGTTGTCGTCGCTGTGATGTGACATCCTAGCCTAAGTCGAGAAATTCCTTTCACCTGGAATCAGAAAAGTCAACCAGGTTAGTTAAATATGAAATTATTTCCAAACGAATAATTGCAATTAGAGTTATAGGAATAAATTCGGGTTATAAAGAGCAATATGTTTGTTTTTTTTTTTTTTTTTTTTTGAGAATAATTTTATGTTTCAACAGCATTTTCAGGATTTTAAAAATTTTCAATATTTTATTTCCGTCAACGTCGTTAAATTTTTTTTCTACTTTTTGAGAATAATTTTATTTCTGGATTTTAACTTATGTTACGCAATTCAAGATCAGACGAATTGGGAAACATCGAACTGTGTCTAAAATATGGAAAACTACGATTAATCAAAATTAATAATTTATTAACTTCACAATTAATTGAAATGTTGACTTGGTGAACTTAGAGTAATCGTATACAAGTAAGACTTCAATGTTTTCAAGTTCAATTTTTCAGCGTACCTATGCTTCGAGACGTGCAAATATTAAAAGACTCCAATGGAGATAGAAAATTTCGATAATTTTCAAATGCCTCGAACACTCAATTTTGGAACAACTTTAGTTCACATATAGACACCCTTTCGTAACAATTTATCTAACAATCCATTAAAGCCTTATATTACTCTACATCCAATAAAATAAACTTCTTTCCCCTCGTCACACCGATAACAAGCATAACTGCGATTGCAAATCTAGGGCGAACAGTTAATTAGATTATGCATCGACGATCCTCCCCCGATTCGACATCCAATTCCCTAGTAAGCTGTTACAAATCTACGTCTAAATACCGTACTCCGCTGATACTTCTCCCGATTACAAGGTGATAGCAAAACGAGGATTACACGTATGACAAATGGCAGCCGGCTATTTCGAAATTCTCTTTCAATCGTGCAGC